TAATGATTGGTTCATTACAACCGATGATTGGTTCATTACAACCGATCAATCATCGAAAAAATTGGTTAGCATCATTTATCAAAATTTCCTGGTTATCTTTGTTAATGCACAAAAAATACAGAAAAACATGTAGTTCTTTTGGGGGGTTTTCAAATTGCACAAAATGCATTTGCAAATTTCACATCTTTAAATGATGACTAGTATGTTAGAAACAAATTTCCTGGAGTCTTTAAGATAAATTCAATCGTGACTTGGAACGAGCTTGTAGTGCTCATGAAATGTAACTGACAAAACCAACCTTGTGAAAAATATCGTTAATGCAAACAAGTGCTCCAAAATTGTTTGTGTTCGATTATGAGAAAACATGATCGATTGCTTGGTCTTTTAGTCACTGCGACCAATCTTCGATTATTTCAATTAATCGGACCACCACTACCGTATGTGGCATTAAACAACACACAAACAATAAGGCGGACAGTTTGTGGTCCTTTAACCCCCAAACCCTTACATAGACATAGACCATTACAGCTACTCAAGTCTTAGTCTTATGATGAATTTAGCTGTGTCATGGTCATGGCTTCCCGGTCCAAATAAGTTTCCTATCAAGATTAGGGCAGGGGTGGAAATAACCCATTGCCCGACGCCCGAGTCCAGTGTTTTTTTCTGTCGGGCAAGCAAATTTGTATATCACACTGTACCGGTGTCCAGTTGATATTCCAATGTTAATTATGTTGTTTATTTTAAAAATCAACAAGAAAACGGTCGGTATAGTGGAAAAATTATCAGGGCAAGTGATTTTACATGTGCCACTGTACTGCAGTACACTAGCAATTTTAAAGTTATTTCCACCCCTGTAGGGTACAAGAAATCATACTATTGTGCTGGAGTGAGTGAGTGAGTGAAGTTTATTGCTGTTTTAAGCAAAAATGCCACTATGTCCCCACTGAGGTACAGCAGATGAACCCATGAAAGAAATCTGACCCTGTCCTACAGCATGATGACCCACTGGGCTATCCCACCACACTTATGGTATTGAATATATTTTCCCCCAATCGTTAAATATTTGTTAACTTGTGAGAAGAAAGTTGATGGAATGTACTGAGTTGTTTTGGTTTCTTGGAGCTGTTTAATCTTGCATGTGTCATATTTATTCTTATTACAGATGATAAAATTATGCAAATGGACCAAACTGGCTATAAAAAGTTTTGGTTTTCAGGAATTTCTCATGACACAAAAATATTGAAATTGTATGCACTTTCTGAAACCAAACTTGAAGCCAGTTAATGTTGATTTTTTTATTAATGCACCATCAGTTGTGTGTGTTATTTCAGCTTTGAGTGAAAAGTAGGTCAGTAGAAATTATTCAACCATATTCAGCCATATCACTGCAGGAGACATAAAAAATGCTCTTTCGCATGTTGAGCCTATTTTGTTGCAGGTGTTTGGTGAAGTCTGAACAACGATCCCCGTTTTGCATATTTCATGTCTCGTGTATTCCATTATCAACATCTGTGATATGTGTATGTCATTTACTTTCCATTGTAAATGAACTGGTTGATATGAAAAACAACTTGCTCAAACATTCAACTATTGTTTATATATTTAATCAAATGTAACCACATTTACATATCATTAAGCATTAACTGTGATAACATTTACATCATATATGTCGTATTCAAGTAGTATTGAGTATGTATATATACTGTATACTTAGATTCAAATACAAGCATGCAAGATGAAGAAACTATAAGGACTATTGATACTCTCAGATGATCTGGATCTTTTCTTTTTCATCACATGATTTTCACAATTATTTCCATGTTGGTGGGCAATATTTTTTTAATTTCAATTTGAGATAAGTAATGTTGCTAATTATGAAAACAACTTCACAAGTCTAATCACTCTAATCTAATCAAGTATGTCTAGTTGTTAAAGAACTATGAAAGATAATTGATTGTTGTTTTGTCTATAAACATCACTAACCATTTGTTACCAGAGGTGAAAAAATCAAAATTATTGAAAAAAGGTTCCAATTTCATTTTTCTTTTTGTTGGACACTCTTGTTGACCAACTAAAAAATACTCATAGGACCTTATCTTCCATATACCATGAGTGTTGGTTTTCACTCATGACCTCTGACCCAGCACAACACTCCCAGGGTGCAGCAGCTCCTAGACAGCACCTAGACTGTGGCTGGTGTCCTCATGGTATTGTAGTGACATTCTATCATGGATGAGGACCAGTCATTAATGAGGGAGAAAGTGCCACGTTACCTCTCCCTCATAGTCAGTCTTGTGTTGGCTTACCTAGGTGCCCCCGATTCTCTTAGACCCAAACCGTTGAAATTCTTAAGGGCTTTTTTGAAGTGTAGTTGAGCAACGTTAGTTGTGGAGAGTTGTGATAGGGTTTGGCGGCTTCACCAGACTTGACTAATGGGAGTTTCTTGGGCTTTGGGTCCTGCCATCCATGCAAGACGTGTTGTACATGTTGTGGTTCCTCAGATAAGTAACTTTGTTCAAGATATGCCTCTGAGAGAGTGAGTTGAAAGTTAGTGCTGCATCAGCATTATTTTAGCCACAGAGTGACTTTTGAACTTGAATTGGTTTTGGTAGCTGAAATAAAACAACCAATTTATCAAAAATATCTTTAAACACACACACACACACACACACAAAAAAAAATCAGTATTGTCAAGATTTGAAAAACAAAAATGAAAATTGTCACTATGAAATATTTCTGCCTTTTTCATTAACTTTTTACATTGATTAACATGTATACAATGTTATACAAAGAAGGCAGCCAATTCTCTTTGTATGTCATGGCAAGTATTTTTATACTTGACTAATAAACAACTGTGATATCAATGAAGATGTTCTTGCATTACTTGTCTATCCAGCAGTAGACCTGTGAAGATCAGGGTTAGAATTGACCTTCAGCAACCCATGCTTGTCGCAAGAGGCGACTATCGGGATCGGGTGGTCAGGCTCGCTGACTGGGTTGACGCATGTCATCGTATCCCAGTTGTGTAGATCGATGTTCATGCTGTTGATCCCTGGATTGTCTGATCCAGACTTGATTATTATTAGACCGCCGCCATATAGCTGGAATATTGCTGATTTTGGCGTAAAACTAAACTCACTCACTCACTCCAGCAGTATTTTAGCATATACTGATTAAAGTGACATAAAGTGAGTGAGTGAGTTGGGTTTTACATCGCTTTTTGCAATATTCCAGTACTATCACGGTGGGGGACACCAGAAATGGGCTTCACAAATTGTGCCCATGTGGCAGTGTAGGAAAGATAGCCCGTCCAAACGTCCGAGACGGGTGAATTTTGTGGAGGACGGGTTAAAAAAATATCTAGTCCGTCCTCATGTCGGGTCAATTTTAGCAAACCAATGACATATGTATGATTATAACCTTTTTGAATATTTACTGCCGAAGGTGTTTTATTTATATTTGGAAGACAGGCTAGATTTTGGCAGGACTGGTAAAAAATTTGACCTGCCAGTCCTGTGGACAGGCTAGATTTTCTACATCTTTCCTACACTGCCATGTGGGGAATCAGACCTGGGCCTTCTGCGTGACGAGCAAACGCTACAACCACAAGGCTACCCCACCGCCCCAAAGCCACGTAGAAAGTTCCAGCTGTGTAAGCAAGTCCAAGAGTTGTAACTATGAGCGATATCACAGCACATCAGAAAACAATCACGCATAACGAAGCAAATGGGTCTCATCATTATATATGCATAGGTTACTTGTGGTCTCTCCTACCTGACAGCCCACGCAGTGGCAGGTAGAATGTGAATAATTCATCAAGTCAAGATAACATGGACTTGCAGTGAAATTACCACATTAGAGACGCAGCATTTCCTAGTCTACAAGCTTGCGTTGGTGTCTTTTACTTTCCAGACAACAAACCATCTTGCAAGACAGCATCCAGCATCAAAGGGAAATAACTGTAACGCTATACTTCTACATCATGGTGCTGAGTGACCTCCCCTTGGTCCCATTTTGCTCATACATTTTGCTTCCAATAACACATCTCTCAGAGAGTAATAAACACAGCTTATACAACCAAGTCACTTACAGATATAGCTCTATACAGTAGACCTGTATGACGTAAAAATCGTACAAATACAATCAATTTGTAGTGTATGCGTAATGGGGATCCCAGACTTGATGAATTGTCCCAGCCACCTATGTTGGTTGAAGAAGATGGAATGGGTTTCCATATCAACCTGACATCAGTCACGGGTTTGTCTGGTTCACAACCTTATCATTTACTGGTGACAGTCCAAGTGCTGAAATATTGCGGAGTGCAGTGTTAAACAATAAAAACACTATTCCCTGGTTGCACTGAAGCATGGTGTAACATGTTATATTTGGGACTACACTTTCTTTGTAAGCCCACACAAGGGAAGTAACTGTTTGTATTACTGTTTTGTTACTTCCAGAGTTACCATTCTTGCCAGGTGTAAGTTTCTTTGGAATATTTCAAATAGCCAGTTATTTTGTGAAATTATTGCCTTTTATGTACTTAAATCATTATCGATTTGAGTACACCAACATTGGCGAGATAAGCCTTTGTATTGTTTATTATAAGTTAATAAAGATTTGAATTGAGGGACGTTAGTTTTCAAAATGGTGGCTATCTTCTCTGAGGGATTCAGTCTACAGTTTCTATCTCTGCTCTACAGTCTGTTGGCTTCAGTTTGTTAATGCCACACTCTGCAATATTCCTGCCTGAAAAATATTTGAGTCTGGACCTCCTGTGTACGAAATTTTGACCAATGATCCTTGACATAAACCAAGCTTGACCATCTCATTCATTTGGTTGTATCTTAACACCAACATAGGTTGGGGGACCAATCCTAACCTTGAAGACCCAAAAGCGTCGACTTCAGCAGTTCTCGGTAGTTCTCAAAGACGTCACTGATCCACACTGTTTGTATTTAGATACTTGATGTCAGTTGGATACATGTAACCATGACAATGCATATGACAAAGCATATTTATTAGGGCTGTAATATCTTCATCAAACAATATGGAACAATGAAATGGCACACATACATAGCATGTAAATTTACATGGATATCAGGTAGACTACTGGCATTCAGAGATATGTACCACTCATAAGGTTTCTTTAAAATACTAAAGCAGATTAAAATATTGACTTGAATGTGGAAGCATGCTTTTAAACCAACTTTTAATAATATTCCAGCAATAGAATGAAAAGCTGACTGGCTGAGTATGGTTTTATGCCGTTTTTAGCAATATTCCAGCAATATCCCGACGGGGGACACCAAAAATGGGCTTCACAAGTTGTACCCATGTGGGGAATCGAACCCGGACCTTCGGCGTGACGAGCGAACGCTTTAACCACTGGGCCATCCCACCGCCCCTAAAATGCAAGGAACAGCACCAGTGGGTTTCACATGTGGGGAATTAAACCCAGGCCTTCAGCGAGATGGGCAGACACTGCTACTGCTAGGCTGGTGACAACTCCCATAATAACAAGTACTGCTTTATTTCTATTATTCAGGGTATACAAGGCATGGCTTGAGGTTTTTCCCATTAGCACTGTAAAATACATGAATCATGTATGAAAATATATAAAATGTTCCATACACCATATACACTCAATAATCCTTTTCTATTTTGGACAAGCTGAGAAAATTACCAACTATAGACAGAACTTGTGAACGAAGAAAAAACAGGTAACCATGGTGAATGTTGTTTTACATCACAGTGGCATGCTCTTGTCCAAATCTGGTCCGGACAAACCAGTGGTTAACAGCATGAACAAAGTTTGATGACATTCTGATTCAGACAATCATACATCGTGTTACCAAGGCAATCACCTCATACATTAACTGAAATACTGAATGTAGAATTACTTAAATTTGCAATCATAACCAACTTCCAGATTTATCCAGTGCCACAAATTATCGCCATTACAATAACTATTCCAGCAGAAATAGTAATAAAAAAGAGTTGTGTATGAATGGTACCATTCCCTACTGGCTCACACGACTGACATTAATCTCAGGAATCCGGTAATGAGTGAGGCAGCGGTCACTCAATAGCCCACCACTGAACAATTTGTCAAATGAGCTAGGTGCCATTATACACAACATATACTTTGTATTTCTGAGACTGACTCACTGAGTAAAGCGGCACCTGCTAGTCCCCCCATGACATTATACACAACATATACTTTGTATTTCTGAGACTGACTCACTGAGTAAAGCGACACCTGCTAGTCCCCCCAGGACATTATACACAAGGAGACTAAACCAATAATCATGACAATGATACCTCTGAACTAACTTCATCTCTCATACAATGGTGCATAGTCAATACTTTGAAGCTTTGGAATATGTTCCTCGATCACCTATGAATACAACAGCTCTGTAGTATAATGGTGACATGTGCCTGTATTGAGGCAGCTAATAAAATTTCACTTCTCACCTCTTCTTGCTGGTGTGGATCCTATGCTGGTTTGGAGCCTACGCTGGTTTGGCTCCTATGCTTGTTTGGAGCCTATGCTTGTTTGGAGCCTATGCTGATTCATATCAGAGCAATGTGTATAGCAAATGGTTGCAATGCTATCCAGATATTGCACAAGAAATTTAGATTAGTAAGTTAAAAACAGACTGCAAATTGGACAAATGTATTCACAGGTGATGGCGGTACGTATTGTTACAGACATGTCAAGTACCCTTATTCACAATACAGTGGCTATGAGTACATGTACACAAGCTGCAGAGTGGTTTTGATGTACAATTAGATGGACAACATGGCAGTGCTGGATACAGATGTAGAGCAGGATACCTGGAATAATTGTAATGGCAGAATGGACTCATCCACAAGTGATGGCAGAATGGACTCACCCAGAAGTGATGGCAGAATGGACTCATCCACAAGAGATGGCGGTATGGGCTCACCCACAAGAGAACTTATTCGAGACAGGAAATAAATTACAATGTCCATAACAATGGAAGTCTTGTTACATCATCTATAAGATGATATATACTTTTCAAATAATGCAAGCTGATCTATTAAAAGTACTGGAGAATTTCATATGATATAACATCTGCAGAGCTCCAATATATTCAATACTAAACCATCCATTATCATTGCATAATTCACATGTGGTTGATACTGGTTACCATGGATATTTAAATGCCCAATGGGAAATAGAGAAGCACTTGACAGTTTCCAGGGGCTAAGGTCAAACTGTCCAATCAGAATGCCCTGTGAATATCACAGGTAGTTTGCTGCCTGAACACAGATGAGGTGCCATCTTGCGTGCTCTGGGTCAGTGTTACAATCTTCTCAACTTCTTCTCACAGTTCTTTCAGTTACATGTCATCATCTGAATCATCCATCTGACACCTTCGCCGGTCAAACTGCAATAAAAGAAAACAGGCAGTTAACAGGGGTATTCTTTACAAGAGATGTTAATACCAATTTGAGGCAATAAGGAAAGTAATAGATAATTGGGGGCTAAAAACTGATACATTAAAAACATGTCAACTGGGGTTGAAGAGCTGTATTGCATAAAAAAATAAAATGGTAACAAAAGTATTCATTATATGTATTATTGACTGTAAATGTTTACATTATCACTGTAACAAGTTAATATTCTTCTAATTCATATCCATCATGCAACTCAAATAAACTGATGTAATGTACTACTGATACAATATTTTAACAAAAACTGTTGGATATAAATATCTTTAGTCCACATGCATGGCTGACTAGCTAAGAAAACCTCCGCACCTTGACTGTTGTCTTCTTCTGAGTCTGTTCACTCACTTTCTCCAGAAGACCAATCAGTTGATGCTCATCGAGCTGGAAAATAACATACGTATCACACATGGTATAGGAGTATTCATGAGAAAGTTTAGCATTAAAGGTGATTAGAACTAGATTGAGTGACAGAGACAGGCCAGGGAGAAAATAAGTATGATTTGGGGGCTTGCTGAGTTACCAGGACAACTGTCTCCATGGCAACAGAGATTCATCAACTGAGATGGGATAGGCTGAGGTGTTTTTAAGTTAGAAAAAGATCACACAGAGAGTTTCCACGCATGGATTGAAAGAAGGACAAATGCACAATGAGAGGATGTGTTTTAAAAACTTTAACACATGAACAGAAAAGGTATCATGATAAAGTGATTAAAACGAACTTGGTTGTTCTATATGTGTTTTAATATCAGTAATGGGTTCAAGACATGGATTTCTACTCCTGTTAAATTTTCAATTCAGGCTCCTCTATGTTGGTAATCCATATTTCTGAGACTGTTCATGACAGCTGAGGGGCACCTGATTTTTCATCATATCATACATAGGTAGAACTCAGTTATGATGAATATATGAATTAAGATTTTTTAATTATAAAGATAGTAAAAACCTGTTATGTATCATAACAAGATTTCAACACAGTAACTGATACTGTTATTAAGCCAGGATTAACTTTGTTACTGTCGATATGTCAATTGTTACCGCTGACATGTTATTTGTTAATCAATACTGAGTCACAGGTTACCTTTGTCTGAATCTGTCCTGTACGTGTCATCTGTACAAGGAGGTTCTCCACCATTTGTGCCTTCTCAGGTTTTGCCACGGCTATTGTGTTTACTAAAGCACAAACATAAGTGTTATGGAACAAGACTGGTAGTTGAGCAATACGCACAAAAGTCAATGAATGTCACTAAATCGAGTCAACAATGGACTATAGTCATGAATATTAATATGGCAGCTTTCTACATATTTCAGTGGTACTCACTGTCATGTGACAAAAAACCCTAACCATTGTCAACTTTACACAAGGTTTCATAGTTTTATTTTGCTTTTTGAAAAGTACCTACTTACCTGATTTTATTAAGACATTTAATCACATTTTATTAGGACTAAAGGCAAATATGTCTAAAGTGTAAAGACCCTGCACTCACATCTAGTCCTGGCAGACTGGTCCAGCACCTGACTGAGGATGGAATTCTTCATATCCTGAGCCTGTTTCTGAGCCTGCTGCTGCTCTTCTTGAGAGGGCCCACCACCAGATCCCTGGAATCCACAAGAGGCTCATTATTATCAGGTAAACATACACTTATTAGTGCGATGGTGCCCGTGGTCCTGAGGTAGAGCGTCCTCTAATTACGTCACTAACTGAATTAGTAATCTGGCAAAGTGCATTTGGGAACCGACAGGACTTGAAAAGTGTCCCCGGTAAAGTGCAACACTCCTGAATACACATGTTTCTCACATCATTTGCTAAAAGTCCAAATGAAAATCAATGATATGAGGAGCAACACACAGGTAAATTTCAGGTGACAAGTACCTTTCTATAGTGTAGTATACCTATGACGACAAAACAAGATGTACAGAACATAGTATGCATAACTGTCAGAAACATGAGAGTGCCCGTCATTCAAAGGCAGGCTAACTTTGACCACAGGAATCCCTCACGATTCTCGACTCTAATAACATAGCAACTGTTTGTAATTAGCCAAGATGACTGTTGTGTTGTTAACTGGTTTTTGAATTCGTGTTTTCGGGAGGTCGAATTGCTTTTCCAACGGAATTTTCTTTCACATTTGATTCATGGTGTGTTAACATCAGATACTAAAAAATACACAAATGTACCTACCCCATATTGTTGCTGAAGCTGGGCCATGCGGCGAGCACGGATTGATTCCAAATCGTCGTCAGCCATGATTCTAGAATAAGCGGTTCTACAAAGTTGAAAACTTGAGCTGCGGAACGATCATTTCTATATTTTGTTACTGCGGAATACCAGTTTTGGGCAATGGTCACAAAACCATTAAAATCCAAACAAAATAATAAAGTGTTTGATAAATCATCTTATATGAACCATTCAGTTTAATTCTGATGCTTATCAAGATCCAATAATACTAATAATGATATTTCGTTATTTTGGATTTTACTTTTTGATAAATCGGATCACAATCCTGCTGAGAGGTGTCGCTTCCCATAATTGTATAATAGAAAAAGTGATGTGTAGAGTTCACTCCTTTCCAATACTTCCGGTGTAAACAACAATGGCGGAGAAGGGAGCGCATGCGAACGTCATGAGGAACTTTGTTGACAATTTACAACTTGTATTGTCGCAAATAAGAGGTTGTCATATATTTGTCATTCGTGTGAATTCAATATTTGATTTTATTGAGAAATATTCGTATAGTTCCTTTGTTAATAGCTCCTACGGTGATGCATTCTTCGTTAGATTACTCTATGTTGTGCAACCGTTGCGTAGTAGATAAAAAGAGTGTATGCCCGGCGAGTAGAAGATCGTTCATTCGATCCGTTCGGAAGATTCATGACAGGAGAAAATCATCCATTTAGTTCACATGTGCATCATATTAATAAAACTGAATGGGACAATCTGTCTAACTACATTTTAACCTGTGTACTAAATCTTTGGATTACACCAATTAGTACCCTGAACAAGCAGTAGGGTGACTGTCTAAAGCCAAAGACGCACTCGTAGATGTCTTTATAGATATCGCAAACACTTCAGTTTAACCGAACTGCACTTTTTTCAGATTAATTAAGCTGCTGGGGCTCGAACGCTCTTCGCCGGATTACTGACTTCGTTAATTAGTGACGTAATTGGTGGACGCTCTACCTCAGGAGGCACCAACAGTTAAAGAGGGCTCGTTTAACGGGTCATTTGCACAGAAATAAGAAATGAAAACAGGGTCCGTGCAATGGTTTGTTTACATTTCTTGCGCTTCCAGCTCACTGTGCCACGCCTTCCCATTCATTTTTTTCCCGCCATTATTTCTTGGACTGTACTGACGAGTACCAGAAGGATTGAAATGTGTTTCAATTGGATATAATAGGATTATACTGCCCTAAGGTAAAGTCAAACCCTAAATATGAATTGGAAAGGGTCCTAACCCTAACCCTCTCCCAACCCTAACCCTAAGGATCGGAAAGGGTGCCATACCCTAACCCTATGGTTTGGAAAGGGTGCTAACCCTGAACCCTAAGGATCGAAAAGGCTCCCTAACCCTAACCTTAACCCCTAACCCAAGGATCATAAAGGGTGCCTAACCCTAAACCCTAAGGATTGTAAAGGGTGCCATACCCTAACCCTCAACCCTAACCCTAAGGATCGTAAAGGGTTGTTTGACTCTACAGATGCAAGTGAAGGGAGACGGAGCAATTACCGCGATATAGCGAGAAAGCGCTTGAGACAGTGCGGTAGCGCTTCAGCGCGATAATTGCCCAACAGCGAGCAGCGAGGTCTGCGCCCGGTAAAGTGCATTCTAGCCTTCATACCAAAAGATAAATTAGTAATACTTGATTATTGCCCGGGGATGTGCTCAATATTAAGGCCATAAGACAAGAACAGGTCCGTATTGAGTGTATGATAAGCATATTCATATCAAAAGTGACATGTCACCTGAGAGAGTTAGCACTATTAAACAGGGTAATCTTGGACTTGTACAAGTAGCAACAAACACACACTTGTGTATGTAATGGCTGTGCCTGAAAACTGACTCAGACAGACACTCAGAAATAATTGAATTTAATGTCTATGTTCCATGTTAATGTAGCAGGGCATGAAGTCCCACAGGTGACATCCTTACCATGTCAGCTTGCTGACGGGACTAACCTCTTTGGTCATGTGGACAAGGCATCCGACTTCAGATCAGAAGGTCTGTGGTTCGAATCCCAGCATAGGACTCGGAAATTTTATGGCCGCTACATTGGCTCCCAACATGGGGCTGAGCACGTTCATGTGAAATTTGAGCAAAATAAGCCTCAGTACCTCCTATGCGTCTCAGGATGTGTATTTTCGTTCACTGGGGAGTATGTAGCAGGGCATGGAGTTAACCTCTTTGGTCATGTGGACAAGGCGTCCGACTTTGGATCCGAAGGTCCATGGTTCGAATCTCAGCTTGGGACTCGGGAATTCTATGGCCACTACATTAAGAAAAGAGTTCTCTGGAATTTTTCAAATCATAAGCTAATTGCTTCTTTAGAAGTTTGGGCACAAAGGAAGGATAACAATATATGGAGGAACAAACTCTTATGACAATGGAAGTGACGTTTCAATGTAGGTTTTGACTAGTTTTGCTAAGAACATCTGTTGGTCTAGATATGATAAATGCATCTGTTGAGAACCTTGGCCATCACTACACTTGACACCACAGTAAATCTCAAGCTGCACACCATGCTCATGAGACATGACCATATACTACTCAACATTTTGACAGTGACTGGTTGTTTGGAGGTATGAATAGGATGTAGTTCAGATATACCTGGCATATGTTAATCTATTGTTTGTTATTACTTGAACTGAAGTCTAATGTGCATCAGTTCCATGTACAAATCACATCCTATTCTATGCGATTGTCTCCATACATCCACTTAGTTCTTTTTCCCATCTGGACACATACTTGACATAGAATAGACCAATCAAATGTTGGGTACTGTAAATGATATAGGAAGGACCTGTCAGATATGTAAACTTTGACTGTTGCAGAAGGAGAGTCTCAGAGGGATGAAAAGGATGAGTTTGATCGTCAGGCTTATTGGAATCATATAGGTATGGGAAGATATATACCATATTATTGATCATGTTGTGAAACCCATGCTTGTCATAAGAGGCGACTACAGGGATCAGGTGATCTGGCTCGCTGATTGGTTGACACGTGTCAATGTATCCTAACTGTGTAGATTGATGCTCTTGCTGTTGATCACTGGATTTTCTGGTCCAGACTTGATTATTTACAGACCGCTGCCATATAGTTGGAATATTGCTGAGTGGGGTGTAAAACTAAACTCACTCACTCGCTCACTCCTTAATCATGTGGTGTAACCATGGTGACTTAGTGTTGTGAGACAGTTCAGCCTAAGTATATGTTTGTTTTGATTGAAAGTGTTTGCGAAAAGGTCAGCACTAATAGTAAACACATGCAAAGGCAAAGCAAGCTGTCACCTAAAAAAAAGGAAACATGTTAAAGTTGGTAATTTAGATGCATCACACTGTTCACAGGTGCGTCAAACTTAGAAATGTCCTCAACATGTCTACCATAAACACTTCTACTAAGATCTACACTGATCTACTAAGGTCTTGAACTTTTGAGCAAGATTCGTATGATGCTGTTTGAAATTCTCTTTGAAAGACCATGCTGAATTGTACCATAAAATGTAGATCAAAGGCTGGAGATATTGGAATATTCACTTGAAGAAATAGCTCTGGTGTTGTAGGGTAGCATAGTGTTAGTTAATCAATTACTTGTTATCTCAATTATTGTTTACCTTTTAGAGCACATTTCCAATGAGATGTGGGGATGTAGTGGGTACACTCCTGGGTCCAATGAGATGTGGGTATGGTGGGGTAGCCTAGTGGTTAAAGCGTCCACTCGTCCCTGCCAAAGACCCGGGTTTTCCAATGAGATGTGCACCCTAACCTAATCAGCAGAAAAGTATTATATGGTAAATTACATTTTCAGGGACAGTATTTACAGCTATATCAAATGAAGCCACCAAACTGTCAATGGCATTCTCCAAGCCTCCAGCTCCGCCCCCTGAGGTGAGTTACCAAGGCAACAAATTCAGGTCAAGTGTACAGTCCCATTCACAAGCTGATATACTCATTACGGAAGGGTACACAATAGTAGTACAGAGCTCTAGATAAGATTTAGCTCATGTGGGTACTGTACCCACTGTAGTTTTTTTGGAGTGGTTATTATGAATGTTGAGTGGGTATTTCATTTTCCGTTACCCACTGCTTTCAAATATGTGCGTATTTCAGTCATTTTACTCACCTAAGTATATGTCATTGAGTAAGTTTACTAAGCAGGTATGTTCTGCCTTATGTCATACCTAATCAAAACCAACTTTAATATAATGGAAATGATTTCATAACAAATCACTCATCCTGTACTGACAGTACAACACTTGTTCTATCCTAACAGTACAACTTGATAGCAATCGATGTCTTTTTCATTACACAGGCGATTTTTATAAATACATTCCGTACGCATTTGTTTTAAACTTTTTGCATATCTAACATTTTAAATGCGTAATTGGTACGCAACAATTATTTTTTCAATGCGTAATTGGAAATTTTCTGTGCATATTTTACCTGGATACGCAGCTTATCTGGGCCTCTGATAGTAAATCCATCTGTTTAATTGTTACAGCACTCACAGCCTATGATTACATCCCTGGAGAGAGCCACCCTGGCTCTTGTGTCAGCCTACTACTCCTTTCCCAAGACTCAAGGTAAAACATATTTGTCAAGACATATGTATGTCATGTGAGTTGAGACACCGGTGTGTCATGTGAGTGGAGAAACAGGTGAGTCATGTGAGTTGATACACAGGTATGCCGTGTAAGTCAAGGCAGAGGTATGTCTTTTAAATGAAGACACATGTGTATCATGTAACTTGTAAGTTGAGACACAGGTATGTCATGTAAGTGAAGACTAAGGTCTATCATGTAAATTGAGGCACATGTATGTAATGTAAGTGAAGACTAAGGTGTATTATGTAAGTTGAGACACAGGTATGTCATGTAAGTTGAGATACAGGTATGTCATGTAAGTGAAGACTAAGGTGTATCATGTAAGTTGAGACACAGGTATGTCAGGTAAGTTGAGATACAGGTATGTCATGTAAGTTGAGATACAGGTATGTCATGTAAGTGAAGACTAAGGTGTATCATTTAAGTTGAGACACAGGTATGTCAGGTAAGCTGAGATACAGGTATGTCATGTAAGTTGAGACACATGTGTATCATGTAAGTCGAGACACAGGTATGTCATGTAACTGTAAGTGAAGACTCAGGAGTATCATGTAAGTTCAAACAAATGAATCTCCCGTAAGTTGAGACACAGGTATGTCATGTAAATTGAGACACAGGTATATGATGTAAGTTGAGACAGATATGCCATGTAAGTTGAGACAGGTATGTCATGTAAGTTGAGACAAAGGTATGTCATGTAAGTTAAGACAAGGGTATGTCATGTAAGTTGAGACACAGGTATGTCAAGTAAGTTGAGATACAGGTATGTCATGTAAGTGAAGACTAAGGTGTATCATTTAAGTTGAGACACATGTATGTCAGGTAAGTTGAGATACAGGTATGTCATGTAAGTTGAGACACATGTGTATCATGTAAGTCGAGACACAGGTATGTCAGGTATGTTGAGATACGGGTATGTCATGTAAGTTGAGATACAGGTATGTCATGTAACTGTAAGTGAAGACTCAGGTGTATCATGTAAGTTCAAACAAATGAATCTCCTGTAAGTTGAGACACAGGTATGTCATGTAAATTGAGACACAGGTATATGATGTAAGTTGAGACAGGTATGTCATGTAAGTTGAGACAGGTATGTCATGTAAGTTGAGACACAGGTTTGTCATGTAAGTTGAGACACATGTATGTCATGAGTTGAGACACAGGTGTGTCATGTAAGTTGAGACACAGGTATGTCATGTAAGTTGAGACACAGGTATGTCATGTAAGTTGAGACACAGGTATGTCATGTAAGTTGAGACACAGGTGTGTCATGTAAGTTGAGACACAGGTATGTCATGTAAGTTGAGACACAGGTATGTCATATGAGTTGAGACACAGGTATATCATGTAAGTTGAGACACAGGTATGTCATGTAAGTTGAGACACAGGTATATCATGTGAAGTTGAGACAGGTATGTCATGTGAGTTGAGACACAGGTGTGTCATGTAAGTTGAGACACAGGTGTGTTATGTAAGTTGAGACAGGTATGTCATGTGAGTTGAGACACAGGTATGTCATGTAAGTTGAGACACAGGTATGTCATGTAAGTTGTCATGAGTTGACACAGGTATATCATGTAAGTTGAGACACAGGTGTATCATGTAAGTTGAGACACATGTATGTCATGTAAGCTGAAGACACATGGTCACACAGGTGTATCATGTAAGTTGAGAACAGGTATGTCATGTAAGTTGAGACACAGGTGTGTCATGTAAGTTGAGACACAGGTGTGTCATGTAAGTTGAGACAGGTATGTCATGTAAGTTGAGACACAGGTGTGTTATGTAAGTTGAGACACAGGTGTGTCATGTAAGTTGAGACAACAGGTATGTCATGTAAGTTGAGACACAGGTGTATCATGTAAGTTGAGACACAGGTGTGTTATGTAAGTTGAGACATAGGTATGTCATGTTGAGACATGAATCAAGACCGAGGTAACCTATAAAGTCAAGACTCAGATGAACTTTCATTGTCGAGTTGCATGGTTAGACATTGAAGATGTATCCATATGTTAGTGTTGATGAAGCTTGGGATAGGATGATGAAGCAGAAAGTCATCCAACACTGACAGTGTCAAATATTGTTTCTGCCAGTGATACGTTTGGGCTGGACTCATATACATACTACCTGCAATAGTTTCTTTTTTGTTTACTTTGGCAACGTTAGTATTCACATGTATGAATTATTGAATGAGTAGGAGCTACAGTTTGACTGTTTCTCTGACAGGTGTGACATTACGGAAGGCTCTGAAAACAGCTGTCCTGAATATAATAGAGAGTGTGAGGACCCTGGCTCAGAACATCGCTGACTATGATCTTGGGTAGGTAAACAGGCCCTTACAATGGCTGGGTACAATATGTGAAGCACATTGTCATTATTGTGTCCCACTGTCATGAAATTGTTTGAATATTGTTAAATGTGACATAATCCCTATTTACTCTCAAACTAATGTCATGTATCTTGGACTTTCCTGTACAATGTCAAGGTTGTACGCGATGCGCAAATGTGCATCCAGTCCCCACAAATGTAGAGAATGGATGCAGAAAAAAATCCACTGCATCCTGAGGGACGCACAATATTATTCACTGTACCCACAACACATTTATGACTTTGCTAAGTGTTTGGTTGTTCCTTTCAGAGCAGTTACGTGCATCATTTCATCCCTATGATTAATGATTCATTACAGTCTCAAAAACAATTATCAAATGAACAATTCTCTACACTGTTACTTCACAGGACTCTCATATTGCCTGCAAGGATCCCTGAAACCAATAATTGGTGAGTCAAGGTAAAACCCTGCAATGTTCTATGTGTTGACAGGTCCCCAGAGCAGCTGCGAGCTACAGGCATTGTGTGGCATGGGGCAGACATTCTGTCATCTCTACCTAAAGGTGAGATGGTACTGTTACGAGAGTGTGTTTTTGTAATTTGTGATATCATTGAGTGATAGTTATTATGGGTCACAATGTTTAAAGTTTTGAGTGTGGGTTGTGGGTCACATTTCGCATCATGTATGTTCAATGGCAATAGTATTTTTTAGCGGTATGCCTTTATGATAGAGCTCCAGAGTTGCCTCCCTTGGCTTAATTTTGTTTTGACTCCCGGTCGTGGTATGTTCAACATGATTCGTGAATGTTCTCAGTGGATAAAGAATGTTCTAGACTGTGTGTGAGTATATATAAAGGCTGGTTGTTGTGTTGACACACACATGGACCAACACACGGAATTACACATGGACTGATCATATCACTGGAGTTGTGTACATCTTTCTGCCGTCACCTGCCTACCGTCGTCTGTCTGTCAACATCGTCAAGACCGACTGTCTACTGACATTGTAAACTACCTTCGATTAGAATATCTGCTCTCATTGTAAATATCAAGGCTCGTGGTGAGTTAATATCTTATATTTGTGGCCCATTACTGTAGATTTGTGACTCAATTGCATTGTACTAAATATCTGTATTGTCATTCATTGTAGCTTGCTCATTGTTTGCTCAATATATTATTGAATATTTAAGACATGTCTGTGTTATATTTTGCTGATTCAAAGGGAACTCTTAAACCTTTTGTCACAGCAATTATTGAACCATAACAGTACTAATTGTAACTTGTGGCCTTCATTCGCAGGTCATAGCAAAACAAATTCCTCATAGTATACACTATATAAAGTTGTGTTTGCTAAAATGATTGATAATCGGAAATGTCATCAATAGGAAACATAATTAATGATTATCAATATGAAATTTGTGTTACCGATAATGTTGTACATTAGTGTTTGTTCTAGAGAAAAGTTTTCATTTTCTTGCACAATATACAAATTTAGGACTTTATTCATGGTCTGCTTCTAAACTATGTCCAGGATGCTGTTTTGTTAATAATCCATGCAAAAATGAACATAGGTTGATATATGTTCTAAAAAATCAACTACACAGATTATGCAGTTTCTTCTTAAATAGTTTTGTGGATAACTACGTTTATCTTTGAATGTTGCTTGATATTTCTGACTATGTCTTTGTCTCCCACTAATAATTAATCACACTATCAATTACCATAATTAGCCTGATTTAACAGGGAAATATTACAGAAAGGGTATGACAAAGCAATCACAGAATCAAATGATGGTATTCTGACATACAGCACAGAGAACTGCTAGTTCTGCACCTCATCAATATTTTAGTATCATAAAATGAAGGTGAGCTGCAGTCCCTGATGTTTTCTTTAGTGAATCAGAGTAGACGAGATACTTTGGTTTTAAGTCCTATAGAAAACCCTGCTAAAGATTATTACAGTAATGAGTTTCTTATCTTCACAGATAACCAGAGAGCCACACTGGCCATTGTTGAAGAGACGGCCGAGTTAGTGAGGGATGCATTACATGAGCTACAGGAGGTGAGACTGGGAGACATTGTGTGGCAGGGTTGGGGGATACAGCTCACCCAGTGGAGTGAGTGAGTGAGTTAGTGAGGGATGCATTACATGCAACTACAGGAGTGAGTTGGGTTTTACGCCGCTTTTAGCAATATTCCATCAATATCACGGCAGGGGAACACCAGAAATGGGCTTCACACACTGTACCCATGTGGGGAATCAAACCTGGGCCTTTGGCCTGACGAGTGAACGCTTTAACCACTAGGCTACCCCACCGCCCCCTGAATTACAGGATGTGAGACTGGGAGACGTTGTGTGGCAGGGTCGGGGATACAGGTGAGTGAGTGGGTATAGCTTTACACTTTATCAACATTCATGCAATATGGTGGAAGTACTGCACACATAGTTCCATGTGGGGAATTGAACCCAGACCTTTGTCCTGATGAGCAGTGATTTAACCACTAGTCTGAACCACCTTGTGGAGGTGTGATGGAATCAATAGACTTGAAACTTGATCTACACATATGATTGGTTGGCCACAGTGGTGGAATACCAACCTCTGGCATCAGTCACCAAGGGAATATGGTATCACTGTCCACTGTGTAGAGTTATGTCTCTTGGGGCGGTTGGGGAGTCTAGTGGTTAAAGCGTTGGCTCGTCACGCCAAAGACCCGGGTTCGAATCCCCACATTCGAACCCCATATGTGTGAAGCCCGTATCTGGTGTCCCCTGCCGTGATGTTGCTGGAATATTGCTAAAAGCGGCGTAAAGCCAAACTCAGTCAGTCAGTTATGTCTCTTCAATGTTCAAAAATCCTGGTTTTGCCACAGTTGTGATCTTTAGTCGGTAATGTGCAAGTGGGTTTCCCTGGAGTGAAGTGAAGTGAAATCACCGCCCAGTGATAGGAAACTAAAAATATGATATGAAACTTAAAATACGAAACTAAAAATATCACTCCTGCTTTGTCTGTTACTTCTGTCACTTGAGGTTCATACATTTCATTATAAGGTTTATAGCTATACAGGTTCATATAACGATACTTTGTGTTGATCTGTAGCGCGAGATTATGGCTGGATGTATTGCATGTATATATTTGTTTCAATTTTTTTTAAAGTTTTCAACTTTAGTATCACTGTTTGTGCTTAATAACAGAGGTTTCACAAACAATAGTTATAAGAAATTATTAATAAGAAATTATAAGAAATTATTAATTGTTAATTGAGTGCTGCATAGCCCAACAATATGTCTCATTTGGGGCAATATTCCACATCCGCTCTGCATGGCATAATATAAGTCATCGACACTCACTCACTCACTCATGGGATGGGGTGTCACATGACACATGTCATCATATGCATCAATGCTCATGCTGTTGGTTACTGGATTGTCTCGTCCAATTTTATTATTCACAGGATTCACAGGATGCCACTTTATAGCTGGAATATAGCGGAGTGCAGCTTTAAACAACAAACAAAACTCACTCACTCACCCACTTACGCGCATAGATTGAACTTATTGGAAAAGGAAGGGAGCGTTGATGTTATTTTTTTCAATGCCTTCTGTATTCTTTCTACCTTTTGTAATCATCATGCAGATAATCCATGGAGCTAAATGCAGTGTAATGCATATTGATCTTATGAGAATGGCCGCTTTATTTAACTGCTGCTGAACAGTCAACATGGTTGATATGTACCCTAGTCACTTCTGCCAACTATATGACCCCCTACTCTGTATTCTTCCTTCTGTAGGCTCTGGAGAGTGAAGGCCAGGCAGATGACCTTGACGAACTGCTGATTGCTGATGGGTTTGTGATGTCTAACGAAGATACATGGACGGACTCTGACAAGGAGGTCCTGGCTGCTAGCATGGGTCTCATCAAGACTGTCAAATCGCTGCTGAAGAAGTCCAAGGAATCGGTGAAGCAGAATGCTGTATGTGACACAGAGGCGAACATCGCTCAGCTGGACGACCTGGTGGACCACCTAGGCAACCTGAGTCCTGCTGTTGACAACCTCGCCGCCAGCCTCTACCCTCCCATGGTCTACCCCACCATCATGAAGCATGTAAGCAAATTTTCTTTTAATGGGGAATATTCTCCATAGGGATTCTGGGTTAAATTAGCTTGAGGAACCTATGTTGGTCGGAAGAGTTTGACTCCTGTGAGTTTCTAGGACTTCAGTCCTGCCCCACAACGAAGCACATGTGATACATGTAGTCTCACCTTAGGCAAGTAAGTTTGTTCAAAATTGCTTCAGTTCACTCAGCAGAAAATGGGTACCTGGTGGGACAAGTCATGCGATTATTAACCTTCTAGCACCTCACAGGCAGCTTGGGTTATCCGGGGTTATAATAATCAGATTGTACGCTTTGAGCATCCTTATGGTTTAAATAGTGCCATAGAAATCCACTATTATTATGATTATGATTATTATTAAATGGATCGGACGGTCAGGATCGGTTACTTGGTGGATTAAGTGTCATTGTGCCCCCAAAATGTTGATTGTTGTTCACCACATCAATCACTTGATTGTGTGATTCAGATGTGAATATCTACAAGCCTCTGCAATATAGCTGGATTAAGAGAAGTGTTATTACACACAAACAAAACATTTACAGAAATCTGAAACCTTACATAACAGAATCATTGAGAACAGAGATGCAAAGTCAGCAAAATTAATATTTAAAAATTGCATAAGTTTGTTTACACGAAGTTGACCCCACGTCTCCTGTTTTCAACAAACTCCTCACACTGCATGTTGCAGACGGAAGACCTATCAGCGTGTATAGAGAAGTACCTGCAGTTCCTCAAGTAAGTACTTTACACAGACACTACACAAATCAAGCTTTCATTATTCGAACTTAATATATACTTCAAGTCTTAAAGTTTTTCATGAAATATGTTTTTTCATCAACATTATCGCCATAAGAAGAAGGGGTGCTGATGCGCCACAATTTGCTGTGCAGGGGTAAAGTGTGTGAGAAACCTCTGAAAACGCGTTCAAATCTCAGTTTGACTTGATTATGTTTCTAGGTTTGTTAACATCTACCACTTGCATCACTCTGGGCCTGACATGTCATGATATGATTAAAATAATGTTAACAGTGGCCTTAAACTCTACTTCCTCACTCACTCTACAGAGTGCCTGAGATTACAGCTCTCTTTCGACCTGTGAAGATCCGGGTTAGAATTGGTCTTCAGCAACCCATGCTTGCTGTAAGTAGCGACTAACAGGGTTGGGTGGTCAAGCTCACTGACTTGGTTTACACATGGCATCATATCCCAATTGCTTAGGGGCGGTGGGGTAGCCTAATGGTTAAAGCGTTCGCTCGTCACGCCAAAGACCCGGGTTCGATTCCCCACATGGGCATAATGTGTGAAGCCCATTTCTGGTGTCCCCCCGCCGTGATATTGCTGGAATATTGCTAAAAGCAGCGTAAAATCAAAACACACCCAATTGCTTAGATCGATGCTTATGCTGTTGATCACTGGATTTTCTGGTCCAGACTTGATTATTTCCAGTCCGTGCCATATAGCTGGAATATTGCTGAGTGTGGCATGAAACAACAAACACACAAACCACAGCTGTCTTTCTGCTGCAGGCACTCTCACATGACAGGGGAGGGAGACCAACAATGGCTGGAGTTCCTTCTCAAGGCCAGACAACACAACCGGGATAAAGTCTACAGCCTTGTTCACAAGAGTTAGTTACCATGCCAACTAGAGCCTATTGATATTCACCAATCTGCTGCAGTATTGTCTGCCTGTGTCAGTTGTGTGTCCAACACTGTGGCGTTATTTTACCAAATGTATGACTGAGAGAGTGTTTGGTAACCCTCATACGATACCATGATGTTTTCCCCTGTGTGTGTAATATTGTGGCATTTTCCCCAATGTGTGTAATATTGTGGCGTTTTCCCCAGTGTGTGTGCCTGTGAGAGAGAGCTGAATGATGCTTACTGATTATCATGGAGTTGTATCCTCAGTATGTGATAAAGTTTCAGAGACCCCCACTCAGTACAATAGCATTGTAATCCCAGTGTGTGTAAGAGAGTGTTCAGTGACCTTCCCACAATACCAAGGTGTTTTCCCCAGAGTGTGTAAGAGTGTTCAGAGACCCCCACTCATTACAATAGCATTGTAATCCCAGTGTGTGTAAGAGAGTGTTCAGAGACCCCCACTCATTACAATAGCATTGTAATCCCAGTGTGTGTAAGAGAGTGTTCCGAGACCTTCCCACAATACCATAGTGTTTTCCCCAGTGTGTGTAAGAGAGTGTTCAGTGACCTTCCCACAATACCATAGTGTTTTCCCCAGTGTATGTAAGAGAGTGTTCAGAGACCTTCCCACAATACCACAGAGTGTTTTACCCAGTGTATGTAAGAGTGTGTTCAGTGACCTTCCCACAATACCATAGTGTTTTCCCCAGTGTATGTAAGAGTGTGTTCAGTGACCTTCCCACAATACCATAGTGTTTTACCCAGTGTATGTAAGAGTGTGTTCAGTGACCTTCCCACAATACCATAGTGTTTTCCCCAGTGTATGTAAGAGTGTGTTCAGTGACCTTCCCACAATACCATAGTGTTTTCCCCAGTGTGTGTAAGAGAGTGTTCCGAGACCTTCCCACAATACCATAGTGTTTTCCCCAGTGTGTGTAAGAGTGTTCAGAGACCCCCACTCATTACAATAGCATTGTAATCCCAGTGTGTGTAAGAGAGTGTTCAGAGACCCCCACTCATTACAATAGCATTGTAATCCCAGTGTGTGTAAGAGAGTGTTCCGAGACCTTCCCACAATACCATAGTGTTTTCCCCAGTGTGTGTAAGAGAGTGTTCAGTGACCTTCCCACAATACCATAGTGTTTTCCCCAGTGTATGTAAGAGAGTGTTCAGAGACCTTCCCACAATACCATAGTGTTTTACCCAGTGTATGTAAGAGTGTGTTCAGTGACCTTCCCACAATACCATAGTGTTTTCCCCAGTGTATGTAAGAGTGTGTTCAGTGACCTTCCCACAATACCATAGTGTTTTACCCAGTGTATGTAAGAGTGTGTTCAGTGACCTTCCCACAATACCATAGTGTTTTCCCAGTGTATGTAAGAGTGTGTTCAGTGACCTTCCCACAATACCATAGTGTTTTCCCCAGTGTGTGTAAGAGAGTGTTCCGAGACCTTCCCACAATACCATAGTGTTTTCCCCAGTGTGTGTAAGAGTGTTCAGAGACCCCCACTCATTACAATAGCATTGTAATCCCAGTGTGTGTAAGAGAGTGTTCAGAGACCCCCACTCATTACAATAGCATTGTAATCCCAGTGTGTGTAAGAGAGTGTTCCGAGACCTTCCCACAATACCATAGTGTTTTCCCCAGTGTGTGTAAGAGAGTGTTCAGTGACCTTCCCACAATACCATAGTGTTTTCCCCAGTGTATGTAAGAGAGTGTTCAGAGACCTTCCCACAATACCATAGTGTTTTACCCAGTGTATGTAAGAGTGTGTTCAGTGACCTTCCCACAATACCATAGTGTTTTCCCCAGTGTATGTAAGAGTGTGTTCAGTGACCTTCCCACAATACCATAGTGTTTTACCCAGTGTATGTAAGAGTGTGTTCAGTGACCTTCCCACAATACCATAGTGTTTTCCCCAGTGTATGTAAGAGTGTGTTCAGTGACCTTCCCACAATACCATAGTGTTTTCCCCAGTGTGTGTAAGAGAGTGTTCAGTGACCTTCCCACAATACCATAGTGTTTTCCCCAGTGTATGTAAGAGTGTTCAGTGACCTTCCCACAATACCATAGTGTTTTCCCCAGTGTATACGCTTGTGAGAGAGTGTTGAATGATGATATTATTATCAAAGTGTTGTACGAGATAAGAGAGTGTTCAGAGAGAGAGTGTTCAGAGAGAGAGTGTGTGTTGCGTGTTGCGACTCAGTATAACTCCATGGTATCCCCAGCACATCAGTGTGAGAGAGTGACTCACACATTAGCATGGCAGGGTGTTCCAGTGCTTGAGAGAGTGTTGAGTAATACTTCACTTACCATACCGTATATACTGTAGTTCCCACAGTTCACTGACCAGGAAGGCTTGTTAACAAAACATTTGGCAAACCTGACATTGACATTGAATGATGTCTTAACTGTCATGGTGGTTCTTTGAAGCAAACACATACTGACAAGAATTTTCAGCTAGACTCTCAGGACAGCTCCACAGAAATGTTCACTGGCATGTTGCAAGTCAACAGGCCACTCTGTCAAACACTGGTATCAAGGTGTGGTCTTCTAAATGGGTGAGGGAGTTGAAAGACCCATATGTTACCATGGCATTATATTCCCAGTGTGTGAGAGAAAGCAGAGTGAACCATTCGTTACCATGGTTAGGCAGAACAGTTTTATATCAAGCTAACTAAAATGACCTGTTTGGGGTCTCTCTTTTTCAAAAGTCACGATATGGCTGAAATATTGCCGATGTGACTTTAAATCTTAACTCACTCACTCACTCACTCTTTTTCAAAACAAATGTGCTATGTGGGTGAAACAAAAGTATATGCCATTACACAATGAAGAAAGCAACAGAGAATCAAGACTATGTTTTAACCTAAAAATATTTCTTGACCCTGTTTGTCAATCATTGTGAAATTTTAAAAAAGGAAATACCTTTTCTTGTTAGGTAGGTTATGAAGTCTTACTGTTAGCATGGTTAGTAAATGGAAACACAAGTCTATAAATTGTGATGTTCCACTGAGCTTTGAAAGGACAGTGTTGTTATGTTATCAAGCAGCTTATTGTGTTGACGTGAGCCTGCATTGTGTCCTTCACCTTCAGCCTTTGATAATACTGTGTAGACAGCTTACTTTATGCACCTATTGGTTGTATATGTATCTGGTAACATGAGCCATCAAAGTTACAAAAGATAGGAAGGACAGTCACTAAGCAATAGTGATTACCAGCAGGAGCACAAACAGAACCTAAGACCATCAGTGTCAAAACTCACCTGACTTTTCAAGGCATTCACAAGTGGACGGACAATGAAGAGATGAAACTTGTTATGGATAAAGATATTATTTTCATTATTTGTAACCATGTTTCACTTAAAGATGAAGGGATGCCACTTAAACCTAAAACATGGTTATAAATAATTAAAAGAAATTATCCCTAAAAATGTTTCCTGTCATCATCTGTTGTGGATTTGAGCCTGGTCTTCCTCTGTCACGAATGGAGACAAGCAGAAAAAGCATAACCATTTTAGTTTCACATTATTTATTTTCATAGTTTTACGTATGTACATATGTGTACATACTTTTATGCATACAAGTGTATTTATAGTCATTACAATGATATCTTGTGTACAGGCTTGTTACCATGGTTACAGTGTATATCTTGTTGGTGGCAAAATAAATTAAGTTCATACAAATTTCAGAATTGTGTTATAACGCTGGAAAAATCTCAGAATATATTCGATGGCATCTTCTGTTCTGATGTTGAATAGTTTCTTTCAGATGATAAAATATTTATAAAATTTACAATTTGTGCAAAATACATCACAAAGTATATCCATGATATTTTCAAATTCATCCACAGAGATCTTGGCACTATTTCTTTTAAAATAAAGTTAAACAATGCCTGGACAATGTGTAGGAAGTGGCCGACATTCACATATGAAGATTCTGAAACATCACAACCAACAATTTCAACCTGGCCTTGCTTTCATGAATAATTATCAGCAAAGTAACACAGGGTATCACACACAAATGCACTCTGTTAGAACCATACATACTGTGTTCTATGCACTGTGTCAATGAGGTGTGGTGAAATTGGGTTTAACGTCGTACTTGAGAATATTTCACTCATATGACAACGTGCATGCGTGTGTATGTGTATGTGCGTCTGCTTGTACTAGCCCAGACTTAAGCTGGTTTTATAGTGCTAGCTCACTGAGATACCATGCCGCAGTGAAGCATGAATACCACTCAGACACAGTCCTTGTTGTACCCATTAACCCATTAATGCCGAAAGCAACAGGCAGGGACCAACAAGTAACATATTTTAACGTCTTTTGGTATGATGCGGTCGGGGATCGAACCCGCGACCTTCCGCTCTCCGGGCGGACTCTCTTACCACTACACCACGGAGGCGGTTCACTGTGTCAATGAATCACTCCGACATATTCCAGCCATATGATAGTGCCCTGTAAAGAATCAAGTGAGGAAAGCCACATCAGCAGTATTGCAGCTATTTGTGGTGTAAAGAATCGAGTGTGGACTGGACAATCCATTAATTCATAATGCAGCAATGATCAATGCTGTAAAGGAACAATGGCACGTCATCAACCAAGTAAATCAACCACTTGTTTCATTAGGGTGCTTTTTAAATTGTTGGCAACAAATTCTAACCCAGAATACCCAAAAGAATACACACATCGGAAACCCTTATATGACACAATAACCCTTATATTACAAATAAACTAATCCAAATTCATCTATAGAAGATTCTTCAGCACCTGTGAATACACCTGTGTAATTTTGACCAAATATTTTTAATGCAACTGTGATGAACAATATGAAGGGGAAATCACAGAGAAGTGACTCTTGGAATGATTTTCTTCCTGAGCAGTCATCCATTTCAACAACAACCTTATGAAGACACAGAACTTTTGACAAAATACCAGGAGCATTGGGTAAAGCTGAGTGTTCGCTTATCACGTCATAGTAGACATGGGTTGATGAGAGTGAAATGGCTTGGAAACTCTTTGAGCACTATCCCACCTCATTTAACGGGACACCAAGAATCTTCTTCACACTATATAGGGAGAATAGAACCCAATTAATAAGGCTTTGTTCTCAGCCTTCCCAACTGACCCCGGAAAGACATATTCTATATTTTTTAATCAATACAGTTTAACCGGGTTATGTTTGTCCAGGAGAAAATATGGCATTATAGCCAGGGTGGCATTATAACCAGGTAAGAGAATTAAAGGCGCTATGCCATCAACATGGTGACTGAGCTGATGTCTCCTTTAATAAGCCTTGAATGACTGGATAATCCCAGCGTGTAGGAGGTGACTTCTTGTTGTAGTTTGGCAGGAAGTGTATTGTCACACGTGTTATCCCATCTAGGATTACATGACTACTTAAAGCATTGATGAGTTTGGTCAATTAATTTGAGTCATGTAAATTATCCAATTAAGGTATTATACTACATGCAGCTGGTGTAATTGGCACTATAACCAGGGGAAAATTACTTTTGTTCCCAAAACCATTGGCAAATGGCATTATATCCAGTTTGGCATTATAACCAGGGAAATCTGTTCTGGCAAAAAACATGGCATTATATCCAGGGTGGCATTGTACATATTTTATTGTCAAAAGACGTCAGCCCATAAGAATTCAGAAACTTGGTCTCTCCACTGTTACGCATTTAAAACATTTTTATATTGTTAATAAAATACAGCAACAGTACAAATTTGATTGATGCAGAATGACACAGTCATACCATATCAATAGTTTCTTTAAACAGAAGACCAACACATAACTGGTACAGTGTCACACAAACTAAACATATACTGAGGGAAAAAAATAAGGTATCACATGAAAGCACAAGTGTTCCCTTATTTTTTTCAGGTTTCTTCACAAGCTTCGTATCGCAAAGCTTGTGAAGAAACCTGGAAAAATAAAAAAAGGAACAGTTGACCTTTCATGTGATCCCTTATTTCTTTTTCATAGAGATCGTCCTTGGGGTACATATATGCATTTTCTGCAGCTGAAAATGTCATGTGACAGTTGTATCAATGTTTTAATAAAAATATTGTACAACAAATAAAATCTTTTTTATCTATTATACGGCCCCCACCACGTGGAGTTACCTCCCTGCTACGCATGCACAGCCAACCAGGTAAGCACCTAGGCCCGTATCATCATTCCTTCTGCTGTCACTCAAGCGATCACATGTGTTCCGAGTTACTAAGCTGATTTACTTCTCTTGTGAAGAATGTCTGAGACTTCAACAACTGTATGGTCTTTATTTGTTCTTGAAAAAGAAAAAGAACAGTTTTATTGACTCTGCAGTCTGTTATTTCTCATTTATGTGACTTTGTATTGAATTTTTACGCTAGCTTTCCCGTGGTTTACGCACGTGTTGCTATTCCATGGCGGGAAGTTTAGCGTGCCACGTGGTTGACAAATTGCGTTACTATCAAAGTATTTCATGTCGCGTGGTCGCATTCACGTAATTTTCAATGTTTTGTACGTGTATATTTATGGTGCTGTGTTCCGCCGTTAGCTACGTGCTTGCGTGTTTGCTTTCAGGAGTTTACTGGGTGTACTGCCTGCGGGCAGAATATCCCGAGAGCTGATAGGCATGACAAATGCGTGTGCTGTTTAGAGAAAGCGGGGCATAACCCTGAAATCTGCAATCTCTGTCTGGCCTTTTCCCCCCGGGCCCAGAAGAGACGGGCGGCTGATTTCCTTTTTTATAAGGAATTGCGAGAGGCGGGAGGGGAACTGACCCAGGAGGTCCCCCTGTCCAAAGCCAAAAAGGCTAAACAAGCTAAACCTAAGTCTTCGCATTAGTCGGATTCCCAATCTCAATCCCAATCTAGTGGTTTTGATATGTCAATAATCACTCAATTGTTTCAGCAGCACATGGACTCCGTGAAGTCCCTTGTTCATGAGTCCATTGGAGGTCCCCGCCAGGAGTTCCTCGCCCACTCTGAACAGGGGACCGAGGGTCCGGGGCTGGGATCGCCGAGCCCGGCTCGATCCCTTAGCCTGGAGGCGACTGTTGATCCTTCGGCCTTTGGCTCCGGGTCCAGATGCCTTGGCTACCGCGAAGGGGGAGGGGGAGGGTTCGCTCCCAGTCCCCCTCTCGGTGCTGGCGCATGGTCTGTTGAGGATTCCTGGGGTTCTGGTCCCTGTGCCACTCCGCCCCATGAGAGCAGAGGAGCCGGTTCTGCCCGGTCTTCCTCCCGTGTCCCGGGACCGGGGTTCGAGTGTTGTGTCTGTTGCCGGAGCAGGGAGATCCTTCGGCTCTTCGCTTCCCGCGGCGTGTGTTGCTCGGCCTCCCACCGGGTCGGGGTTCGGCTCCTCTTAACGAGGAGACCCGAATTCTGACTTGGGTTAGGGTGCCGACATCTATGGATGTTGGGGAGGTCGAGGATTTCGGAGGGTACTTTCCGTTTCTCGTCGGCTCTCCGGGAGGTTAGGCAACATGTTGACGAGTATATACCCCAAGCCGCGGTGCCAACATAACGCTCGGACTCAACTGAGTTCTGCCTGCCGGGCGAGGCGTTTGGCCCTAGGCAACCCTCGCAGACACAGCTCCGTATCTTGCCTTCCCTGGTGCAGGACGTGATGGATCCCCTCCTGGTTGGGTCACGCCTCCGGTTCGATTTACCCGAACTCATTAAGAGGTACCAGCTGGGGGATGATTCTCTGTTCTTTGTGCCGGTGGTTGACAAGTGCGTGTTCACTTCGGTCGCCCTCGGGAGAGGCTCGGCTTCCTCAGGTGCAGGCCCGGCTGCTAAGCAAGGGTGGTTAGTTCCACCGTTTGCCTTAGCGGGCACCCCCCTGCAGCAGGCATACCGGACTTACGAGGAAGTCTACCGGAATGCCATGCAGCAGGTGCTGGTGGTGGTCCATGAGGCCTACCTTTCCTCTATCCAAAGGTCGGCTCTGGAGGAGGAAGGGAGCACTCGGGACGTTTCCCCGAATGTTGTTCTTTGCGGTCTGCTGCGTCTACGGTGATGTGCGCAATCATGGGGATGCGCAAGCTATGGCTGTCTACATCCTGTTATTCGGCAGCAACACAGCAGACCTTGCTGACCCTTCCGTAAGGGCTGGGAGAGACGTTGTTTCCGGGGGCACAGCCGGTCATTCGGGAGGCTGCTGCAGCAGCTACCTCCTTCAAGGACTCTAAGGCCTTGCTGGAGCAACCTCGGGTTTCTCTCTCCCTCCGGGGCGCAGCCTACGCCAGAGTCTGCCGGCTGGCTTCGGCCGCTGGGCAGGGGTAGGAGGAGGAGCCGTCCCGCCAAAGGTAAGGGCAAGTAGCAGTCCTCTTCGTCTGGCTCCCAGCAGCCTTTTCGCGGTCGCATGTATCTACATGTGCCAATTCATCCATCGTTCAAGCAGTACCTCCGGTTCTCTTACGACGGGATGTATTACCAATTCACGCTGCTCCCCTTCGGCATATCCACTGCCCCCAGGGTGTTCACCAAGCTCATGTTAGTGCCGGCTACCCTCGCAAGGTCGCAAGGAAGGCGTTGTTACCCTTACCTAGACAACTGGTAGCTCAGCGCTCTAACTCAGCCAGCGAGCCTAGATTCTAACCACACAGTGATAGACAATCTAGTTCAACTGGGGTGGATCATCAACCTCAAGAAATCCGACCTGGGTACCCACCCAGGACTTGGTTTTTCGGTGAGGTTTACAACTCACAAGGGTCTTGTCTTTTTGTAAGCCCGACCCGGGTCACCAGAGTCTACGGAGATGGTGTCTTCGTTCCTCTCCCAGCCCAGGCACCAGCGCAGACTTGGCTCCGTCTACTGGGTCATATGGCTGCAACTATCTCTGCAATAGCGTGCAATAGCTACACACTAACCTGTATTGTCATCGCCGATCGCTTCTGATCAGTCTGTCTTTTCTTGGTTTTAGCATCTTTCTTGCCTTTTTTCACATCTTGTTTACCTGTGAGATGGATACAAATTAGAAACAAAATATGTCTGCCTCTTCATGTTATATGAGCTACTTGTACTGTCCACTTGAATTTTGGTGCAACTAAGAGATTAACAAAATAACTGAATAAATAAATAGGAGGAAGTGGAAGCTAAATCACTAAGTGCTCGAGATACATTTTGAATATTTACAAGTATTTACCCACTCATAATCATTCTTATTCAGTAGTTATTTTGGGAATTCAATACATTTTATGCCCTTGGTCTTCACTGAATTTGTTCAATGCCCTGCTTGACATGCAATAAACATATTTTGATGATGTACTACCTATCTGTTTTCTGTAGTGATCCACTGGAGGCAGGTGTGCACTTGTACCACTTGTACTGCTTGCGTCCTTCCTCCCCATCTCGTGTATCTGGCAGAACTCTCACTCCTTAACGTAACTTCAGGTCATCAATCTTATCCCATTCTCGATCAACTCTGCAAAACATGACAGGAGAAATTCATCCAGTTAGTTCACTTGTGCATCATATTAATAAAACAGAAAGGGACAATCTGTCCAACTACATTTTAAACTGAAGTGGAACACCGTTATCAAGCAAATGATGATGAGTGTTCCACTTCATCATAACAGCTTCTAAATGCCACTTAAGGAAGATACATTTTAACCTGTGTACTAAATCTTCGGTGCTCACTTATTTTAACAAAAGGAATACAAGTTTACACAATCTTTTAAACTGAATGAAAATTTCCACTCTGCGATAATTGTACACGTAGCATAAATGATTCAACACTCTTTTGTTACTGTTATTTTGTTTTGGGATTGGGGTAGGAAACAGTAATATACCAATTAGTACCCTGAACAAGCAGTAGGGTGACTGTCTAAAGCCAAAGACGTACTAATAGATGTCTTTACTGAAGCTAATATCGCAAACAATTCAGTTTAAGTGAATACAATCTAGGACTGCAAAATATACATGACAATCGTCAAAACCCATTGTCAAGTCGTAGATCTGCACTTGCATGTTGCAATGTTGTTCTCAAAATAATTCTTTGTTTGAATCGAGACGTGGGAGTACCTACTCCTTGCCGTGTTGTCAATCCACTCGTTGTACTGACTGTGTTCTGTCTATACGGGCATTCAATATCGCAAGCGCACTTAAAAGTAAGAACCAGTCAATCGTCGCCAGAAGCAGAGCGGTCTATTCTCTCTGACGCAAGGTAGTACGATATATCTTTTTCACTGTTGCACCTTGAATGAAAAAGATAACAAGTGTAAATTATTGTCAGTTCAATTCATAAAATTTTCCAGTTAATAGTTTTTGTAAGACATGGCAAGTAACAGTGGATCTAGCCTGTTATAGTAACTGTCAACGAATATGCACCCCTAAAACATAATAAACTCTTCTGGCAAAACTTCCTGTCGGGTGATAATATAACTAGTCGGTCATACTAAAACGAAATAGTCCGTGTGCGAAATAAGCACCATGTTGGAAAGGGCACGTAAAAGAATCTCCAACCTCATTTTAAACCGAAATGTAGATTTCCTTAAGTGGCATTTAGAAGTGGTGATTGTTTTTCTAACAATGTCCCTTTTTGCCAGTGGGGTTGCCACTGCATCTCCAGGCGCATATTTCACTCTTTCCAACGATACCCTACAACAAACAACATGGTTATAAGTTGTAAAACACTTCCGTATTCCAAGAAAGTTAGTTGTGTGTCACGTTTCAAAACAAGTATCATATTGTGTAATTTCCCACCAGCTTAGTGTAGATACCATTGTTATGACGTCAAACCAATAATTACGTCACAGTTTAGTACTGTCCTCATACACTGTTAGCTCCTACTGTATTTTATAACGTATAAAATAGATCCTATATTACATGGAAATTTCACTGTATACCCGAATTTATTACCTACGAGGGCGAAAATATCGGGGTTCATATTTTTCATACGATGCCCTTGGGCAAAATATCACTTTGTCATGGTGACGTGACGTCCTGAACAATACTATGACGTCACGTTTCTTCTGTGACGTTGCGTTCTACATGCGGCGACGGCAGGTAGCCAGCCTATGTTTGAAAGGAGATTTGGTTATATATATATATATGTTCCTCAATTTGACGACTTCTATTTGGTAATAAACAGAATGTCATATTCGTGCCCATATCATGCTATGTTTACCACACGCGTGCCTAAATATCGGTATATCCCTCGCTCTCTCTCGGGAAAGACCAACATTTAGGCACTCGTGTCGTAAAAATAGTATGACATGGGCACTCCTCTATTTGTTTATCGAGTGAGAATGCTTGCACGAGTTTGAATAAAATGAATTTAAAGGAAGGACATAGGGATGGAGAAATATTGCATCATATGATACGACAAATCGTGACGTGACGTGATGCGATGTGATGTAAAACGGAACAAGACAATACAATACAAAAGAAATTACGACGTTACGTTTAAAGCTAATATCAGCTGTAGTGGATGTTAAGACACAAGCAGTGATAATGTTGCCGGTAATAAATTTGACCAAAATACTATATCTTTGGAGATGATTGGAACAATGACGAAACAGAATACAAAAGAAACATGCCCATCTATATATATGTATGGATCTGGAATTTGCAAGAGGATCAAATGCAGTGTACGTCAACAAACCTACCTGGAACTTTTATGAAAGTAAGACATTTGTAGACCTCGCGATAGACCTGGTGGACTGAACTGACAGAGGCACTGCATGAGGAATGATAGATAATTCCAATGCTCAGAATTCAACGCTGGAAAATCTTTGCAGATGCCATCCATTCGAGTTTTTTTTTGGTTTTGGTTTTTTGGTGGTTTTTTTTGTGGTCTATTCAGGAGACTATATGTAAATGACAACAACCCGTCTTTTCGTTACGATACCAGGAATGGAAATATGTACCTTTACTGACTTTGCTTTCAATCTCACTATCTCTGTCCAACTTTGGGTACCGGTGAACTAAATAAAGTATGAATGGTCGAAAACATTCGAATCCGAGCAGATTTTTAGGTCGCAACTAAACAGCAATGATCGAGTAGTGTGAAGTTTCAAGTTTTAACGTTCTTTTGCCAAGTGTAGTTCTGACTCAAACCGACATGACCACTAGGTCATCAATTTTGTACAGAGAGAATCATAATTCATGTTGTGGTACAATGTTGTCACTATCCAAAGTTGAATTGTTATTCAACAGCTAGTGTAGTTGTTTTAAAATTTGTTTTCATTTTGTCACTTTTTACAGAGACCATGTAATATTATATGGTCTCTGCTTTTTGTCAATATGCCAGTACGAATACACACATTGTTTTGTTTCTTTGCCCATTGTATACAAATGCCTTCTTGACAGCAGTTCTAATGCAACTGAATTAAACCAAAAGCATTTTTCTGTAATTCGACAGTCCAAAACGGTAGCTGTAACATGCGCCAATAAAAACAGAATAGAATCCAACTTTTTGAGTAACCAACACGGGTATTGACCTAAGGGGAGATAATACTGTTTCCTCGACAAGCAAAAATCCCAGGATCGCGTTTAATGCTGCCTCAAGTACTGAATACCATGTATTGATTTGTTAACTGACGAAGACAGGAGCCCAAACTATCACAAACTGCTGAGGTTAGGACTCTCGGATTAAGATGTTTGCAAACTTCCACTGACAGCTACAAATTTCTCACGATGCCTGTGAAGATTGGCAAAATGTTGATGTGCGGACAGACTGGGGTTGGGAAGACATCGATGGTTGAGCAGCTGCTGTACGCGAATCATGTCATCGAAGCCACGGTGAGGCATCATCATCCACCTGATTGTTTAGATTGTGTTTGTCATTAACCCCAGGAGAAAAATATTTATTCTGAAGTTTGTCCAACCCAGAGCCGTGATAAGGTCCACCAATCATGACCCATCATCGCGATGTACTGGCTAGCGAACAGTTATCGCCGCGTAACACAAACAGCAGAGAGCATATAATATGGTCTCTGCTAACAGTTATCGCCAATACAACAGTATCACACGTGCGCAGTTCCGATCAATTACAATTCCGGTATTTTTCCCCACGGTATTTGGCAACAATAAAGGACAGCAAAAGAAAATTCTTCACGGCAAGTAGCGTAAGAGAAAAATTAAAGATAAAGTTATGAACCCTATATACAAAATTAACTTAGTCGGGGGGATGTCCCACAACATATATAATAGCGACTTGCCAAGTTCAAGTTCACAAGTCATTAGTTCAATTGTTTCATTCCCTATCAATCTACTGTAAGGTAAACACTCAAATAGTCACACAATCAATTATTCGAGGCTACTGTATGATATAAGTATATATATTATTTCATTAATGGCATGAGAAATTCTGAATAGCGATAACTGTTACAGTTAGTTGTGAGAAAACATCTATTTATACTGCCATGATTCCCTTCCGTTGCATTATATAAAAACATGATCGGTGGCAGACACATCTGTGAATAGCTAATTAAGTTTCATAATTAATTCTGTTTCATTAATTTTACGAACGATGGAGTAAGTTTGCAAATACCGCTAAAATATGGCCGATAACTGTTCGCTAGCCAGTAGGGTCATTTCGTTACTGAAGGATATATGATCATTTCTAGACGGTAACATTCCATTGGGGCTAGACTAGAGCTTGTCACACATGAGACAGGACCATGCGTACAAGTGGAGACAGAATCTGAAGTCTGTAGTTGCATGTTGTTGCCCTAACCTAAGATCTGTTTTGAAGACTTTTTTTAACTACTATGTAAATCAAGGGCCACTAGACAAATCTGTGTATATAATCTGCTGGATAAGAGAAAGTATACTCCCATGTGTGTTGGTTGCGAGAAATGAAACAAGCAAGAAATGGTTATGTGATGATGATGTATTTGATACGGGTCCCGCATGTGTCATATCAATGCGTATCTCCCAACACGTGACATGCATGTGATGTCACAAGGAACAAAAGGGATCACAATTTCACGATACATGTACACAATAATGAGCAGACTGGAGAGTGAATTCTCAGTTGTATACTTTATTTCTCAAACTCTTCAGAGCTGGTACAGTAAAACAGTCAAGTTTATTTTCAAACATCAACCTCCTTTAGATGAAACAGCCGAAGACAATGGTTCAAAAGCAGTTATGATGAATAATCCTCTATATCCTATATTCCCAGGGCAAGCATTTTTATGAACCTACATGAACCACAGGATGTGTTCCCATGGTTCTATCAATTAAAATGTTCCTGATTTCCATTAACTGTTTACCAACCAACTTTGTCAGAATTAAAAATGAATAGGTGAAGGGGAGTAACTTGTATTACCCAGAAACCAAAGCAAACATAAGTTTTAATGGACAGGAGGACATCCTTTCCATTAAAAAAGACTTTGAGGACATTCTTTTGCGTCAGTCAATATTGATTTTTTTCATTGTGTGTGTGTTCATTTGTAATCAATGGTCTTTGATTTTGTTTTGATTTTTCTTTTTTTACATTTTTTTTTCCGGAGAAGCAGTATACAATATATGTATAAATGTATACAATATATATACAGGGATTGGACTCACCAAGTTTTTTTGTTATTTTTTAACACATAGATACAACATTCGCTCACACATCCATACAGAAAAACAAACAAACAAACAAACAAACAAAAACAGAAAATAAATTAATTCCTATTGTCAACGTGTGCTACTGAAAAAGATTTTCATACTGTTTCCATTTGTTATGGTATTCCTGAAACCTTCCTTTGCTATAATATCTGATTCTGTCTACGTTATGGTAATAGTTCAATTCCTTTTTAAAAACGGATAAATGCGGTATTCGATTTGTAAGTTGACATTTATAGATATGAAATGTAGCTAATAGAATTATCAAGTCAAATATAATATCACTGTGGAAGGATTCAGAAATACCAAATAACACTAGATCACAATGGAATATAATTCTGTTAGCATGTGAACATTTCAGCATAATCCATTGAGAGAGATTCCCCCAAAAGATTCACTTTCTCTACATCCCCCCAAAAGGTGTAGTATTGATTCCGGCTCTGCCTTACAAAATGTACATAGATTGCTATTAACAACATTCATCTTGATTAAGTATGTATTGACTGGTATAATTCTATGTAGTAGCCTGTATTGCATCCATCTTAACTTTGGATCAGATGTAGTTTTAAATGCTTTGATAAATATGTTTGACCAGTTCTGTCTTACTAATATTTCCTCTTCCCATTTTTCAATTATCTTTAGATTAATTGTCTTTAAATTTAATAAATGGTTCAATACTGATGAGATATAGAAGAGGAGCTGCCAACTGATATTTCATTAATTAGAGTTTGTTAGGAATATACATGTTTTCTTTGCACTTGTTTTATGCCTGTTGTAATGATGATATTAGTATACTTCTTAAAGGGTTATGGCAGACCGTGTTTTCATGACATTTGACAAGTGTGTTCATTTGTTGTTTTTTTAAATATTTTTATTTCCCATCAGTATGTTGTACATAGTGTTCATTTGTAATTGTCTTTGAATTTAAATGGTTTGGTACTGATGATAGTGATGTCAAGTATTTTTCCACCATAATGTATTATGAATACTTTAACTGATCTTTTCACCAGTATATGCTTACTGAACCTTCAGTCTGTAATGTATCCCAAACAGAACATTTGTTAGATCAGTCTGTCATGGAAACATCACTACTTAGTAATTTTATCACTGATTAGCAGGGCTCCAGATAAGGGTCGTATCGGCGTATGTACGGATAAAAAATATGCAAGATACGGTAGGAAATAATTTAGAAAGCGTAGCAGATACGCACCACAGCAATGGTGTACGGTCTTAGAATCTTTTACAGACGTATTTATCTGAAAAATTATTGTTTTATTGTTTATTGACCTGTTTACACAAGAGTAGCAATGTTGTGGTGCATATATGAAACGAAACACAAGATTACTGATACGCCATTAATTCCCATTCAGTATTCTAAATGTACTCTTAAGGTTTTCCAGTACTCCTTTATTGAAAAAATAAGGAGCATTTACTCCTGATCATGAAAAATTATCTGGAGCCCTGGATTAGCGATGATTCCACAGGAACAGATAAGCTGTGTATCTGCGTGAATCACGCAAATATTTACCGGTATGTGAAAACTCAATTCCTATTAAGTATATTGCGTACAAGTACACTTGAATTTTTGTAAATACTCAATAAAAGTGATCTTACATGCGTACACACAAAAATGTCAAATCTTAGCTTGCGTACCGGTGGATAGATAAAATAACTGAGGTATATTGAGAGGTTCTATTTCAGGACATGAACTTGACAACTTGCAGTCTTTCTTATCGTTTCTCATATTATAGATCAAATATAAATAACAAACACTAACATTTAAACTTTATTATATTTTTAAAATTAATGAAAAATGGCAAAATACCCAATTGAGTTTGAGTGAGGTGAGTACAATCTATTTGGTTACTCAAAGGAAAATTAGGATACCCATTTGAGATGAACACAAGCGAGTACATAACTCAATAACCCAAAAAGTTATCTGTAGCTCTAGATGATTCTGAATGTCTATAGATGTGGTGATATATGTGTCCATGTTGTTGTTAGCCAATGCAGGCCACCATAGAAGACATCTACACTGCTGTGATTGAGACTGATCGTGGCGTGAGGGAGAAAATACGCATCTTTGACATTGGAGGTTTTGTAAGTCTTCTCAGAAACAAAATCATCTTAAAAGCAGGTTCAGCCTCAATTCTCAAAAACATATATCTCCATTGCATTTTGTTAAATATGTTTTGAGTGAGTGAGTGAGTTTGGTTTTATGCTGCTTTTAGCAATATTCCAGCAATGTCATGGCAGGGGACACCAGAAATGGACTTCACACATTGTACCCATGTGGGGAATCAAACCGGATCTTCAGCATGACGGGCGAATGCTTTACTAGGCTAGCCCACCACCCCTAAATATGTTTTGAGGCCAATTTTGAATGATAAGATGCTGGACAGAATTTGTTACAAATAAACCTTCACTGGAAATAATATGTGCTGGTGCTCTCTTGAATAAATCATTATACCATGAAACCTTGACAATAATCAATAATCTTGATATTTGTTAATCCTGATTCTTTTACTGGTATAATAAGTTTTGGATTATTTGACTTCATTCTTGTTGTTGAGATTACTTTTGATTGCCGTTGCAATGGTTTTGTGAGGGTTTCATCTGTTGTGTTTTGCAGGATGGGACCAACACAGATCTACCAAAACACTACCTCAACTTTCCTGACGTAAGTACAGAAGCAGAAACCTGTTAGTATCTAAACAAACAATGAAATATATATTGGAGTACAGTGTCAATTATTACCCAGTGTTTATATGTAGACTGGTTGTTTCAGTTTCAATTAATCTCTGTTACAGGGCTTTGTGCTGGTTTATGATGTAACAAACTTTGAGTCTTTCAAGAAACTGGACAAACTAAAGCGAGACATTGACAAAACCAGGGACAAGAAGGAGGTGAGATGATGTTGTCAGAGGCCCAGATAAGCTGCGTATCCGGGTATAATACGCATATAAGATTTCCAATTACGCATTGAAAAATAATTGTTGCGTACCAATTATGCATTTAAAAATGTGCGTATTTCAGTCATTTTACTCACCTAAGTATTATGTGACTGAGTAAGTTTACTAAGCAGGTATGTTCTGCCTTATGTCATATCTAATCAAAACCAACTTAAATATAATGGACATGATTTCATAAAAAATCACTCATCCTATACTGACAGTACAACACTTGTCCTATACTAACAGTACAACTTGATAGCAATCAATGTCTTTTTCATTACGCAAGTGATTTTTATAAATATATTCCGTACGCATTTGTTTTAAACTTTTTGCGTATCTAACAATTTGAAAGCAGTGGGTAACGGAAAATGAAATACCCACTCAACATTCATAATACCCACTCCAAAAAAATACAGTGGGTACAGTACCCACATGAGCTAAATCTTATCTGGAGCTCTGATGTTGTCATTAACAATCCCTACTGGATGTATTAGGTAATCTGGGGCAGCATAGGTCCCATGCATGTTGTCGAACTAATATAACAAAGGGTTCACATTGTGTGAAATAGTTTGCTTGTGTGTAGTTGTAACTGCATGGACATTTGCTCATGCTAGCCGCTTATTGTTTGCCTGGTTCAGAGATGATAATTTATTGGCAACATATTATATAACTGGAACATCGCTGTCGCATATAACTTCTTTATTACCCATATGGTGAAACATAACTAGTGTCATATATATCATGACTTTTGCTTGGGATCCGTGAAGGTCCGGGTTAGAATGAACCTTCAGTAACCCATGCTTGTTGTAAGAGGCGACTACCGGGATCGGGTGATCAGGCTCGCTGACTTGGTTGACACATGTCATCGGTTCCCAGGTGCGCAGGTCAATGCTCATGCTGCTTATCGCTGGATTGTCTGGTCCAGACTCGATTATTTACAGAGTGCCCCCATATAGCTGGAATATTGCTGAGTGCGGCGTAAAACTAAACTCACTCACTCACTCACTCACTTTTGCCTGGCAACCATTGTTTCTGTATTTCGTCGTCTGTAACATCATTAAACAATGGAACGTCATGTCAATTAACAGGACCGTCACACTTGCTTACTGTGTTTTACTTCACAAATGTACATGAATAAAATTGATAATAAAGAAATTATTACACTTGAGCAAGTGTGTCATACGACTTGTGTATTGCCCGAGCGAGAGCAACAATACAAAATTTCACTCAATTTTATAAGTTGTATGACTGTCACCACAACTGTCATGTGGTGAAATGATGCTTAATACCGACATACCACAAAGAAACCACAGTTTACTCTCTGTTAGTGCCTTTTGACATTATTATTAGGCGGCCCCAACCAGGGATTGAACAACTAATTTCTGTGCTCGAGGCAAGTGCTCTATCCCTTAGACCAGGGGCGGTGGGGTAGTCTAGTGGTTAAAGTGTTGGCTCATCACGCCGAAGACCCGGGTTCGATTCCCCACATGGGCACAATGTGTTAAGCCCATTTCTGGTGTCCCCCGCCGTGATATTGCTGGAATATTGCTAAAAGCGGCGAAAACTAAACTCAGTCAGTCAGTCAGTCCCTTAGACCAGAAAGACAAGGACACATCTTACTTCATCAAGGAGAATAAATAAGAGCCTAATGATGACATATTTGTTTTCACTGAAGTTTATTTATATGAAAGTAGCTTCACACCTATTGTAATCCTGGCATTGTATTAAAACTGCACCCTCTAAGGAGTAGCTACTTAATGTGTTTCATGAAATTTTAGCTCTGCCTCTGCTTCAGTTGATTTTGTCAAACTTGTGCTCATGACAAATCCTGTATTTTGGTTGAAATATTCTTCAACAGATTCACATCATCGTCATTGGCAACAAGAGTGAGTTAACAGAACACAGGCAGGTTGACTTCAACACCGCTATGGCCTGGGCTGGCAAGGAGAAGTGTAAGTATTGTGGTTTTGTGTATACTTCAGTGATTGAGTGAGTGAATGAGTGAGGGTTGATGCTGTTCTTAGCAATATTCCAGCAATAATATGGTTGGGGACACCAGAAATGGGCTTCACACATGGTACCCATGTACCCATGTCGTCGGTGTGACAAGCGGACACTTTAACCACTGGGCTACCCCACAGCTCCTGTATGTCATTGAGTTCATGGACATAGAGCATTACTTACCTCACACATAAATGCCGTTTTCTGATTGGCTGAGCCAATCAATGTACCCTGCTTACATGCGAGTAGCCGCTGTTACCCACTGGGATTGCCGAACTATGGGAATTCATTTGGTACTTCGTGTTAGTAGTGTTTTGGTTGTTGTCGGTATTGGCTAATTCCTTATTGTGATCCGATACCCGTGCTTCAAACAGTTCAAAAGGAACATTGAGGTGTTCGGTAAGATAAATATGTTGTTTACTTGACCCTCGGGGTCCATGGGTTGATGTACCCTCGATGTTTGTTTACAAACAAACATGGAGGGTACATCAACCCATGTCCCCCTCGTGACCAGTGAACAACTCAATATATGCTGCTATAAAATATATAATATAGGTATGTTATCATGTTGTCATAAGATGCGACTAATAGGATCGGGTGGCCAGGCTCTCTGACTAGCTTCATACATGTCATTGTAATCCAACTGTGTAGACAGTCTGTCTGGGCCCCGTTTCACTAAGCTCTCGTAACTGTTCTCCTAGCAGTCGTACCTCCTATACTGTAACATAGGAGGTACGAATGCTACGGGAAAAGTTACGAGATCATAGGCTTACGAGAGCTTTGTGAAACGGGGCCCAGACAGACTGCCGTTATATAGTTGAATTATTACGGAGTGCAGTGTTAAAGAACAAACAAACAAATGATATCCGCTCTTGATATAATTCATTACACTGTTTTCAGTGCGACTGTGGGAAGTCTCCGTCACAAACCGCCAGTCTCTTGTTGAACCATTTGTGTGGCTGGCCTCGAAGATCACAACTCCACCTAGTAAGTATCTGCCGCCATGTGTTGGGGATTACTGGAGCTGTGTAGAAATATCAGTACAATCAAAAGATGGTTACTCATATCACGCATGTTGTCTTTTATTTCATTGTACAGATATTAAGTCGAAACAAGGCAGTACCAAGAAAACATTGTCTGAAGCAACGGTTCACTGGAAGATAGAAATGTTCCAAAGAATCTGATTGTTACTTGTTTTTGACTTTGTAATCTAGTTTTATTTGGCTCATTTCAGAGGATATTCATATATTGTTAATTTGAAATAAAATATGATATGTACGTCGTGAATACAATGATGTTATGATCTCAGACAACTGAAAACATGTATGATAAAATGTCGAAATAGAACTTAATGAACTAGCCTCACTAATGGTACAAAGTAACCCAGCACAGACTAACCATTACACACGATTGCAAACATATATATTTTTTTGCAGGCAAGTCGACATTCCTGCCAGGCAGGAAAGCCAAGTCTGTAAGCCTGGAGAGCTAGAAGGTTCATATCAAGATGCTCATGGTCATGTTCATCAAACTATGCTAAATTTTAGGTCTTGTAACCCCAAAGATATGGCATGGTCCCATGATCGATTCACTATGGTCTTGCATCTAGCTGAGGTCAGATTACTAACTTTTTAACTTTGGCTTTCTCTGCTGTCATTTTTGTCATTAACAAGAATTTGGGGGAATTGAAACATGTTTATTGGTCTATTGGATAGTTCATATCCTGAAAAGAGTTTCATAAAACAGACTGTTAAATTAAGGTAAAAAGGTGAAAGTTATGTAACTGCAACTACACAAGAACTTCATGAAACAGTCCGAGGTGGGGACATTCAGATTTAGAGAGTTAATTCTGTCTAAGGCAATTTATTGTTTATTCGGTGGTTAGCAAGCTTTTTCTTCCAAACAATATTATCAAAAATATCACTGAACGAAAAAAATACAAGAATAGTTTCTACTCAGACCATTAAGAGTTGCAATCCGTTGAAGCACAAGGCTGAAGGATGCAATATCTGTGTTCTGGCTGTAATCTGATGTCTAAAGGAATGAAGCCATCCAGAAACCAACATTGACATTTTGTTCTGTATTTCTGTAATGATGCTCTTTATCCACAGCTTTATGCGATATGTGTCTGATCTGTTCTTGAGACAACATCTATATTTTAAAAGTCAGTTACCTTTCAAGTTTTCACAAATTTCACTTATTTTCCAGTTTTAGTTTTTCAATTGGCTGATATTGGTAACCAACGTATAAAGAATAAAGGGCCTAATGTTGTCTCTATTCTATCTCCTGTTGTCAGCTTGGCTAAGAATTGTTTGACATAAGAATATTGCAATGAGATAACTTTGCTGTGTTAAAACTGCTGTGTGCAATATGCTGTTGTAGTGACCACAGTGCCATTTGTCATGGTCGCTCGGCAAGGGAGTTAACTGACCATAAATGTTTTCCATTTCATAGCAGGTTAACTCCCTTACCTATCGGAGATATCTTGGTTTCTGCAGACCAGTGATTTGTTCATCATTTCCTGACCATTTGTTCAGATCTGGACATTTTCAGATCTTGACATCTTGATAAATCAATATGTACACTTTCATTATTTATGACATTGAAGATTTATTCAGTAGTATCTATTGGTGTCTAACAATGGTGTCCATCTCTCAAGGTCACCAGTGAGTGTGATATGAAGACTTCTGTAGGTTATTTATATAGTGACAACAGAACACCACCATGGAAAACCCTTTCCTCAGAGCAACGAATAACTACTATTTACTTCTCCCCATTATATACAAGCTATTTCTAAACACACCGACCACATGCAGGACAATCAAGAATCTTTTGTAATGTTTGCTACAGCTCAGACATATACAAAAGCACTTGTTCACATTGTATTACTTAAAACAGGCGTTTTACTTTAAAACAGGAGCAGTATACCATTGTGAATGTTTTCTGTGAACTGCAGTTACTGCTCAGCAACAGAAAATCAGTAGTAGTCATGTTCCTTGTTTACAAAATGCTCAGTTAATAGACAAATATAAACACATGGAGAAAGTCACCTGGGGAAAAACCTGAACAGGACACATTAACGGATAGAAAATAACGAGGAGAGTTCTATGGATATACAACTTCTTTAATATAATATGAGCAATGTTTCGGTGTAGCTACTAACACCGTTATCAAGCAAATGATATTAAAGAAGTTATATATCCATAGAACTCTCCTCGTTGTTCATCACACCAACTTCTAAATGCCACTCAAACAAGGAAAGAAAATAGCAATATTTCTTTGAGTTTAGGGATGTAAATAAGGTCTCTAAATTTTCCTTCAACTTTTGGCCTAATCATCTTGTGAACTCTGGAATGAAAAAGGGTCGCGAGAGAAGTAGCATGACTTGGTGCTGTTGTCCGAAGCAGCCATTGTGCGAAGATGGTCATAAGTCCTTATAAAGTTGTGTGAGTCACCTTAGTACTAAGATAGCTTTGTTCAACTTGATGATGTTCAACCTTTATTTGTGTTGCAGTAAGTAATGACCACCTAGTCTGTAGTATAACCTTTGTATCACCCAGCTGAGACTTATTGAGGTGTTCGCCTGTAGTCCCTGCTGTGTGGGAGATACAGTCCCTAGAGACCAGTAGTACATACAGTAGGCCTGATGTATTGTTACCATGCATCATGGTATAACTGTCTGTATCACATATATGCTGTATAGTGAATATGTTGTTGATTATGTTGATGATAGTGTTTACAGAATAAACAGTTTTGAGAATGCTTCACTTAGTTTTCTTTGTTTAAATATTCTTACTGTCTGAAACCTGGGTTTTCAGCAACCCTTGCTTGACTAATTGGGTTGGGTAGTCAGGCTTACTGACTTGGTCGATATAGGTCATTGTATCCCATTTTGTATAGATCGATGCCCATGCTGTTGAGCACTGTTGATCCAGACTCGATTATTTACAGAACACTGCCATATATCTGAAATATTGCTGAGTGCAGCATTAAACCACAAAAACACTTAATGTCTGCTGGTAGTGGGAAATAGGCAACTGTTATAAACAACAAGCTTTGTTTATGAGTCTGGAAATCAGGGGTCAGAGGTCAGGAATTATGTATACAGAGCTCAACAGTACATAGATTTGGAGGTAACTTCAATAGTACATGTACCTGAGTTATAACTTCCACCATGCAGCTCAGTAACCCATGCTTGTCATAAGAGGTGACTAACGGGTGGTCAGACTCACTGACTTGGTTGACACATGTCATCGGTTCCCCATTGCGCAGATCGATGCTCATGCTGTTGATCACTGGATTGTCTGGTACAGACTTGATTACTTACAGCCCATATAGCTGGAATATTGCGGAGTGCGGCATAAAACTAAACTCACTCACTCACTCCACCAGTTTTCCAGTGTATACTACTCCAGGGAATTTAAAGAAAACCTGAATTCATTCATATTACTGTCGTTACTCTGTCATGGCACTTATGGACCAGTCAAAATGTGACAAAACCTCAAGAAAATTGGTACAGAAATGACTTGAATGCTTTCAGCATGTTTAAGTTATAACTAATGTGTACTAAAAAGTCCTCCCTTGAAATATGATGCTAAGTCCTTTTTTTAAGGAGGGGTGGGGGTGAGTGTAAAAAGTTGAGAAACTGAAATTTATTAAGACACAAATTTCCTTTTTAATGGATGTTTTCAAAGAGATCTTAAGGTACTACTAATAAATGTGCTAGAAAAGAAAAGTCATATAATGGTATGCGAAGTCCTCTTTTGGGTTAAAGGTTGAACAATTGAAATTTTCAGTGACTAATGTTTTCAATCTCATATTGAGACACAAATTTTTTTTATGGATATTTTTAAAGAGAACACATGGTACTACTTATACATGGGTTAGAAAAGTCAAATAATTTTATGCTATTTCTTAATTTGGACCATGGTCCCTGGTATGGTGATCTACCCTCAGTTGTTGGCGATCTATAGCCTATTTTTATATTGTGATGTCCTCTATAGTAAAAATGTTTTAGATTTAATTGCTAGTTTTACATTTATATCTGTGATGTTCTAGTTGTTTTACTGTCCTTTGTTGACAGGATTTTATAATCTATCATTACTTATTGTTAATCTATAACTTGTTTTAGTCACGATATGGCTGAAATATTGCCAAAGTGACTTTAAATTTTAACTCACTCTCTCACTTAATTTGGAGTACAACATTGAAAAGTTTAAATTTCCAGAGAATCATTTTTAAAATCTCATATTGAGACATAAATGTACTTTTATGGCAATGATTTCATGACAATTACCCCCAACAACATGTAATACCATGGGATATAAAGTCATCCCCATGTCAGTCAGAAATCTGAATTCGTTTCCTGAGCAAACTTTTAAGATAGTTGATAAACAAGCATGCACCACCTACTATTAAGTATTAAATACTTAAAGTATTTGTCCTTTAGGCTACCCCACCGCCCCCTGAGAAAAGATAACATTCAGATAACATTCAGATAACAAATATACACCGTCCCAATGAGGGCTCTGCACCATCAAGGTGATGAATCGCAACCAGAGCCTAAAGATTGAAACACCAATTCACTTCATTGGAAGATGTTGTGTCTCAGCTCGAGCTAAAACATGAAAAGACCATTTGACTATAATAGAATCTGCTGCTTCTTAACTGGAGGAAGAACATTAAAGGAACATTTTGTAATAATAGGACATGGTGTTTCATAACTGGAGATAAAATGTTACAAGACAAATGTTCATTATAATAAAGGAATAAAACCATTAACATACTAACCAATTGTAAAAAACAAGAGGCACATCTCAACTGGAGTTGACACATTTAATGAGCAAGTAATGCAAAAGCTCATGAGGAGTTTATATACTGCAGCACAAGTTTGAAAAGACAAACTGATTAGAATAGAAGACTGTGCTAACATTCAAACTCTAACCTACAGTAAATATAGGTGGTGCCACCCAGCTGAAGCTAAAATGTTACCATAGACACTCTTAATAAACTCAAGTGGCGCGTCTTATAGTTGAAGCTAAAACATGAAAAGACAAACTCATTATAGTAGGAGATGATGACTGGACCTAAACCACTGAAAAGTAACACTAAAATAAAGTCTCAAGTAGCATGTCAACATTAACGACAAAATGATTATGATATAACTCGAAGTTACTGAACATGCGCTAAAATTTAAAAAGCGGAACCTATTACAAGGCAATGAAGAGTTTCAAATGGATCTAAAATGTTAGCCACCAAACTGTGTGTTATAATGTCAACAAAAATAGTTAAAGCATACAAAAAATCCTTTCCATAACCATAAACGTGTCAAGAAGATTCTGTCTGGATATTGTATCTGCACCATTTAAGTGACACGTATCAAACTGAGCTGAAACATTAAAAGACCGAATCATTTCAATAAGCTAAAATGAAAACGAATGCATCTATCTTGAGCTAAAGCATTAGTAGAAGAAAACATTCAGAGAACAGTTTAGTAACCAAGCTATGGGACATCTCAACTGCAGCTCAAACATCATTAAAGACAACCTCCTTATACTAGGAAGTGGCGCATCTGGGGTGGACCTCAACCAGTAAGAGACCAGATCCTTTATAAGTCATTCACACTTTATTACATGACTCTCAGTTGCTACAAATCCAATCAGCGACAGCAACAGCGCAGTATCCAAATCAACAGTAGTTGTCCAACGGCACCCTGGTTCCAGATTATTGTTTATTAACTAAACATTGCATATAAAATAAATCACAAGAACCTTCGGTTGCCAGGAAAGTTAACATACACAGCATACAAATAAACTATGCAAATATGTCATCTCATGTGTTTCCTAAATAAAATGCTAAAAATATTCACAGTATATTTCAAATTTAGTTCTAGCACTATTCTAGATTTGAAACGCTTAAAGTTTGCACACCGTCATATAATCCACGTAGAATAGATCATATTAAGCTTTTATCAAGTGCAGAAACGAATCCACACAAATACGATACAGAAGTTATAACGCAGTCTCAATTTCAACCACCAACAACAAGGGGCACCTTTCATGTCAAACTTGATGAACTGATGTCAAAGTTAAATCAACGCACAAAGACCCATGAGCAGCACTGACTGGGGTGCTTACAAACAAACACTATTAACCATATACAAAAGCCTAAGTCAAAATACATGATGAATAATGGAATTAATTTCCTTAAAACATATATAAAAGATATGCAAAACTTACATCATAATATTGAAACTGAGCACCATGGTAGGGTAAACGTGTGCACTCCTATTCCAACGGCTTTCGTTGATCACTGGATTGTCTGGTCCAGACTCGATTATTTACAGACCGCCGCCATATAGCTGGAATATTGCTGAGTGCGGCGTAAAACTAAACTCACTCACTCACTCACCCAACGGCTTTCACCTCTAAGAAATGACCAAATATGTGTTGAATGTCTCCCAAAAAAGAAACGCATATAGGAATTTCAACTGTTTTTGATGTTTATTTTGAAACATCTTGTAGGCTTTATGGGTTAATGAAATATAGCGAAATTGCACACTGGGAATGCAGACTTATCCGTCTTTGGCACCAACTCGAGGAAAGTCAGTTTGAGTGTCACATAGAGACGTGTGGTGGCGCTGAAGTCAATACCTCGTGTGACCACCGTGGGCATCCAGAACTGCACGGTATCGCCTCGGCATCGAACGAATAAGTCTCAGAATCTCGTGTTGCCCAATCGCAGCCCACTCTGCCTGTAGTGCCTGTGCGAGTTGCTGAAATGCCTGGGGCTGAGGGTTACGGCGTCGCACCCGTCTGTCCAGGGCATCCCACAGATGTTCGATCGGGTTTAAGTCCGGTGATCTTGAGGGCCAGGGGAGCACATTGATGTTGTGGTTCTGGAGGAAGTCTCTAGTGTGACGTGCTGTGTGGGGCCTGGCATTGTCCTGTTGAAACAACTCCCTGTGGCGATCAATGATTGGAAGGAGGTGTGGGCGTAGGATTTCGTCACAGTACCGTTGAGCTGACAGACAGCGATCAACCTTTCATACCAATCATTGAGACTATCTGATCCCCAACTTTCACGTGCATTGCATGTGAATTGTGTATTCTGTGACACTACACGCCGAAGTTGAAAATCATGCTGTTAAATACGGGTATTTTACGGATGGTGCGTTTTGTTGTGATGTTTCAAAACATAAACACCATAGCACTCATAAACAGAGCAAAACCTTTTTGTAAAATGAATCACGTTTTAATTCATTGCTACATGAAATTGCTATTTTCATGATGCGTTTCTTTTTGGGGGAGAGTATATGTTACAGTGAATATGCAAAATCACTGAAAATTTCAGGGATTTTATAACATTCCTGATTCACTCGGTGGTTTCACAAAATCCCTGGAATTCCTAGGGATTTAACAAAATGAATATAACGACACTTTATTTACAAATTCCCTGAAATGAATACATCGCATTTTCAATGTTATTAAATTAACATTTCAACACACACACAATCAGGACGTGAATGGCGATTTCGTTGTGTGTCAAATAATGGCGAGATTTACAATATACCTAATTCTCAGAAGTCAGCCATTTTGCTTTGCCTAAAATGTTATAGAGTCATATCATGGAACAGGAAATGTCAGAATACGAACCTATGACGTATATTTGATTAATATTGAATGTTATTCGACTTTAAAGTAAGCATAAGAGCAAGGGGGTAAACTACAAATAAACAAACAAGACAAGCACACAATTGATGCA